AGTGCAGAAATTTCCTGGAGGCATAAAAAATTACCACTAATTATGTGTTCACTACATCACATTCTCAGAGAGCATGTGGCTTCCTGATCATATTTGGCTAGAAACATTTTTCCCCCTTCTATGTGAGGGATTGAACCCAGAGTGCTCCACCACTAAGCTACATCCCCATACCTTTTTTTAAAAAAATTTTTAAATATTTATTTTTTAGTTGGACACAATATTTATTTATTTTTATGTGGTGCTGAGGATCGAACCCAAGGCCTCGCATGTGCTAGGCGAGCACTCTACCGCTGAGCCACAACCCCAGCGCCCCCATACCTTTTTAATTTTTTAAATTCTGAGATAAGTCTTGCTAAGTTGTCTAGGCTGGTCTCAAACTTTTTGAACCTCCTGCCTCAGTCTCCCAAGCAGGCAGATGGTAGCTGTGGGCCACCATGCCTGCTGCCTTAGAAGCTGCATTCCTTGAAAGTCATACTTAGGGGTCTTGATTTCCCCCTTTCTGAGAATTAAGTAAAAGAAAAATAATTAGAAATCTCTTCAGAAAAGACACTTCAGAGGAAAAGAAACCATTTGGAAAACTCAAAAGAATCACCTCTTATATTCTGCTACAGCAAACAGAAGAAAAGTGTCAGAAAATTATTTGGCATATTGAGTATAGTTAAAAGATACATGTATCATAGAGAAGTAATAGACTAAGACAGAAAGGTCTAGGTAAAAATAAAGTAAGCAAAGTACTCAAAAAGATAAAAATGTTAAATATCTGAATTGAAATCCAGATTATTTTTTTGCTGAATTAAAATTATTGAAGTGGGGCAAACTATCAGAAGGCAAGGAAAATGTCTGTAATACTAGTGAGAGGAAAAAAATGATATATTTAGAGGACGGAGATTCAACACAGAGATAATTGGTGATTCTGAAGGAGACAGTAGAGTAAGTGGAGAGGAAGCAATAATCATGGAGTTAACAGAAGACCATCTTGAGCTACAGTAAAGATGTGAGTATGTTCTCTGGGTTAGGTTACCTGCTGCATCAACAACCTCAGAAATGCCAATCAGGGGCTCAGTGGGCTACCTTCCATGGAGTGACCACATCATCCCCCACAATGGGAGTGTGCCCACTGGATCCTCTGCATCCAGCTGGAGGCAGGAACTGAGAGAGCATGTGGAGAAGGCACCTCTTCTCTGAGGTGCCTTGCTATGCTAGTCAGTTTTCTGTTACTGTAATAAATTTCCAAGATAAATCAACTTAAAAAAAAAAGGGTTATTTTGACTCATGGTTTTGGAGGTTTCAGTCCAGGACCAATTTGTCCCGTTACTTTGGGCCTGTGGTGGCACAGTACATCATGGCGGGAGTGCATGGCAGAGGGGGCCCACTTGTCTTATGGCTGAGTGCAAAAGAGAAGAAGAGATTAGCACCCCATAATCCCCTTCAAGGGCACACCCTCAATATCCTAAAACCTCCAACTAGCCCCACCCCTTAAAGGTTCCCCCACCTTCCAATATCACCAACAGGACTGAGCCTTAAACACATGGGCCTTTGGGGGAATATTCCAGATCCAAACTATATCAGTGGCCTAGGTTACAGGCGATGCCTATTGCTTCTGTGTCCCTATGATCCTATCCAAAGAGAAAGGGGCTGGGAAGTGTGGGAAGGTTGAAGAGGAAGTGGGTTTGGGGAGCACATAGGTGTGCAAAAACACATTCAAAAATAGAAGTTGGAATAGTTCTTTCCTGAATGTCTCCATGATGAAAATTTAAGCCCCACAGAACCATGAGAGAGGAGCAAAGTCAACAAGCTACATCCTATTTTCCCATCTTATTTGTGACCTGACTATTGGAGCCTCACTCTCGACCTTCCATGGGGATGCTCTGGAGGCCAGCAGTTCCCCATAGGAGCCGTCAGGCCTCCCACTGTAATGTATGCCTTCCAGCTGCCACCACCTTCTCTTCCTGGATGTACTAATTCTCTTCCTCCTCTGCTCCCAACAGCCAAGTCCCAAATCTCACTTGAGTTGTGTTGTGAATTTTCAGTTTCCCCCATCTGGAGAGGGGAGGGATGGTGTCAGAGTCCCCTCCAGTCTCAGATGCCAGGTGGTCTTATAATTTTTTCTTGTGCCTTATTAGTGACCCCCCCCCCCCCAATGCAAATATCCCCAAGCCCTAATAAAGCAAAACCAACAAAACAACGTGGGCCCTAATGTGCCAAAAGAGCACTTAGTCCCACCTCTTGTGACCCAGAGGATTTGATTTGTTCTTCTAGAACACAGGACACATGGTCTAAGAGCTGCTTTCTGGGTCTCTTGGCTGGGAGTGAGGATGGGGGACAAGGGTAGTCCTGCCACATGACAGTGGGTCACACTTCACTTTCCTGTTGAAGGACAAATGGGATCAGATTGGGCCAAATAGAAGAATCACCGTTTTACATTTGATGGAGATGAAACTTTTGAAGATGTAGCTTAGGTGGTTTAAGGTACAATCTTGCCTGAAGGCAAAAGGTGTCAAAGTGACTGCTTAAAAGTAACTGTGACTGGATTCCCAGACAGCCGGAGGTGTGGAACAGTGAACCAGAGCGTGTGTCACCTCCATTAGACCGCCTTTTTGATGAGCCTTTATCTGCGGCTTTGGCTGACCTTTCCACTGGGGGGACTGAGTGGCGGCTGAGCCCAGCCACCCTGCTAATTCAGCAATGTCTCTGCATCACCAGGGCTTCTTGGATGCCCCTTCTTTCCCTTTCATGAAGGCATGAGGTCCACGTGTTTTTTTGATCAGTGGCAGGAGCATCTGACCAGCTGGCTAAAGCTCAGAGCTGGAATTTCGAGGTTGGGAACCACCTGGCCGCCGCCTCCTGGTGCCTTCCCTAAAGCACTCTCTATGCCCCTTCCGATCAAGGATCATAATGACATCATGGACAACCACAAGAATGGGATCTGAATTAGAATGTATAATATGTCAAAATATACTTTAATGTATATTCAAAAAGAACAAATAATTTAACAATCACATTTAAAAAAAGAAAAAAGGATTGTAGTGAGCTTGCTATGGGCCACCCACCCTATCGTGGGCCCTTTGAGAGCAGGGACTATGAATTATACCCCTTGTATCCCCAGGAACTGACTCATGGCAGGTATTTATAGAAAGAATTGTCTTTGAATCCAGCTCAGGCAGGTCTCAGAGGTGAGCTCTACCTACATTGCAGAGACCCAACAGTCATGGGAGGGTGTGTAGGTGGTCCACTTCCACCTGTCACCATCGCAGCCTATCTGGCTTCCTGCCAGGGACCAGAGCCATCCTCCTTATCTGAAAGCTCAGCCCACCTTTCCAGAATGAATACTGGAGGTGCCTGCTTCCTCCCCATTTGCCCTGTGTTCTGTTTTCTTCTGAGTTGGGAAAGAGCTCAGTTCTGAGCCCATGTGCCAGATGAGGAACCAGAATCATCCTTTCTGGTGCTGGCCGATCCTTGGAGCTGCTGCCAGGAATATGAAGCCCAGGTTTTGGGCTGTGGCCATTGCAGATTTTCATCTCCCTCCTACAGGCCCTGGCATCTGCTCACCTTCCTCTGAAGGAGGGGAGAAAAAGAGTCTCTGGGATTAGATGAGTTTAAACCCAGGCCCTTACCATTGCTATGGCCCAGATCAAGTCACTTGGTTTCCTGGAGCTTCAATTTCCCCACCTGAAAAAGCAGGATGTTGGTCCTTCAATACTGGGAGAAGGGCTGGGAGAAAGGCTCAGTGCTGGGTATTGATAGCTTCTGTTGTGAATAATGTCTTTCTATAAGATCTAACACAGGACCTTAGCTTTCAAAAATGTGGACCCAAAGTTTCCAGTGTCCTGTCCCAACAAACATTGAACACAATGTGTTTCAGGTCAATATTGACATGCATTTTAATGCCCTGTATTGTGCTGACCTGGATGGTTGGCTGCATATCTGCATATATTTGCATATGTATCTATTATGTTTCATTTGAATTCATAAATAACAAACATGGCTGTGGGTCTCCAGCAGGCAGGGATCATGTCTCATTTCTTTCAGGTGTCTTCCCTCTCCTATTCAATTCCAGTTCTTGCTTACTCCCGGGCATCAATAGATATTCCACAAATAACTGCTGTGTGAGAGGGAGTGGATCTGACTCCATGTTTGTAAGAAGGAGGTCTTGGTCCACTCCTTCCACAACAGAGTAGTAGGAGAATGTAAAAACCTGTCTATCAACCACTAGGTGTGAGGTCCTTTGAGGAAAGTTTTAAAAATGCACTGGTTGGGCTGGGGATGTGGCTCAAGTGGTAACGCGCTCGCCTGGCATGCGCGGGGCGCTGGGTTCGATCCTCAGCACCACATAAAAATAAACTAAAGATGTTGTGTCCATTGAAAACTGAAAAATAAATATTAAAAAATTCTCTCTCTCTCTCTCTTAAAAAAAAAATGCACTGGCCTTTACTGGAAAACGAGGCAGCAGGGATGACCACAAATAAGAACTTCTGGGGCAGTTGAGGGTTAAAGGATTCTTCCAGTTGATGGGGTTTCTCTCTAGACACAGAGAGACTTTTCTGTCTCTCTCCTTCCACCTTTTCTTCTTTCAAATTACCTTTGTTCTGCCAGGCATAGTGGTGCATACCTCTAATCCCAGCGGCTCAGGAGGCTGAGGCAGGAGGATCACAAGTTCAAAGCCAGCCTCAGCACAGCGAGGTGCTAAGCAAATCAGTGAGACCCTGTCTCTAAATAAAAATACAAAATAGGGCTGGGGATGTGGCTCAGTGGTTGAGTGCCCCATTTATGAGTGCCCCTGAGTCCAATCCCTGGTATCCCACCCCCACACAAAATTACTTTTGTCCTAAGTGATCAGTGATTAATATCCAATTTGAAACTTTGGAAAATTCAAAATTCAAGAAGAGTATGAAAAGATGGTGATAAGCATCCTCCTTGATCCCGCCACAGAGGCCTGAGCTCCTTCTTTATCTGAACACACCAGGCAGGGTGTGGTCCAGTCCCTATTTCAACTGCCCCCATTTTTTTTCTGCCAAACAGCAGCAGTACAGCCATGAAGGCCTCCTCTTCCGTGTTGGGGATCTTACTCATGGATTGGTGAGTTTGTGTTCTGACCCTGAGCCTTAAGCTTGCTGCAAATGCTGTGCTGTCCTTCTGGGAGCTGGCCTATGGCACTGGGGCCTGGGTTTTCAGAGGCTGGCAGTGCCAAGGGTGGTTGTGCTTGTGACAGTGGTGGGCAGCTGGAGATGTCATCTTGTGGTGTCTTTCTTCTTTGGGCTTAGGGTGCCATGTTCTGTTGGTCTGGAGACCCACAGCCAGTGAAGTGGCAGGAGACAGACACCCACCACTCCTTGGGATGCACATTGCTGAAGCAGGTTTTAGCAAAAAGGCAGCCTGGGCGTCTCTTATTTCCCCCCATAGACCTCCTGTTCTTTTTTACAGCCATAAGGAGCAATCTGTAGAAATGTGATTTCATACCTCAGTGGGGACACATACTTAGTCTTGTGAGATAGGGAAGAAAACGCTCTGTGACGGGAAGCATATTTCCTACCCACCCCCACTTCCCTACTATCAGGGTGAATCCCAAGGAGGATCTTTCTGAATTGGGGTCAGTGTGAGGATTGTGAACTGGTGACTCCGAGAGGGAGTTCTAGGGCTCCCGTGTGCAGAGTGGAGGGCCCTGAATGGGGCAGGTGCTAGAGAGAAGAGGCAAGAGGGCCAGAGGCGGGCATGAGGCCAGGAGGATTGCAGTGCATCTGTGTGGTATGTGAGGTTTCCTTCCTGTCCAGCATCTCACTGAGTCAGACTTGTTAGTTGCAAGCAGTTGCTGGGATACTGCTTCAAAACAGAAGAGCATCATGGCTGGAGGGGCCCAGCCATCGGGCTCTATATCAGAAGAGCACTGTGCTTGGGAGGAAGTGATTTAGACCCTAGGGCACTTGCCACGCATACCTGTTAATACCTGCACCTTACCCTGAAACCGGTGGCTGAGTGTTCTTCCCCCCACTCTGTACTGCAGGCGCCCCTCAGGCCTTCCTCCCTTTGAGGACCCCAGTGCTGGGCACTGCTGCTTTGTTAAGCTGGCCTAACTTCCCAAAGTCCCACGAGTTGCATTTGTTTGAGTTCTACTAATATTTATTCAGCACCCATCTCGCACCAGGCCCTGTGACAACACAACATGGGGGACAGAAAAATGCTTGTGACACAGGCCCTGCCTGCTTGGAGCTCAGGGTAATAGATATTTGCTGTCCACTTGCAAGTGGAATGGAAGAGGTAACAGTAATGTGACAGCCTGAGGGAGGCAGGTGTCGGGGCAGGCTCCGGGAGACAGGACACCAGAGCCTAGTCAAAGGAGGGGGGTAGACAAAAGGGTGCCCCTCGCAGACACCAGTGCTGACAAAGAATCTGTCTGGTACCCCAGGGTCCTGTGAATCAGCCCTGGAGTGGGACAGGCAGAGAGCAGGAGGCAGATCAGAGATGATAACTCATCCTGCAGGTGGCCATCCTTAAGGAGATGGGGTGGAGGTGGGAGTGGACAGAGAGGTAAAAGTGTAGCTCCCTGGTTGGGGGTCAATGAGTTTAAATTTTTAACATGGACTATACATTTGATTGGAAAATGAAATTCAGAATTAAACTTTTATATTTAGAAAAGGTGAAAAGAATAGCTGTCATCTTAAAAATAGAATCCGACAAAGTTTTGGCTGGAGGTTCAAGAATTTAAGGAAGGGGTTGGTGGTTACAAGAATATTGCCCCTGGTGAAGGGGGTGGGGTTTTAGCAGGGCAGTGGCAAGTGTGGACCAGATTTGCAATTTTAGACCAGTGATTCTGGCAACTGATTGGATGTTGGACAGGAAAGAGGAAAGACCATGGGCCAGGGACCATTGAAAGGATGGAGAGATGGAGGTACCAGGTCTCTTTCTCTTCCCTTTCCCTCATCAAACTTTCTGATCTGGTGCCTGCCCTGGCCCACCTCAGCCTGACTCTGCAGTCGGATTTGACAGTTTTTGCCGCAGTCTGGCTGGGCACAAAATCACGAGCCACTCAAGCAGGAACAAACTAATTTTTTGAAACTGCCGCCAATGTTCTGTACGCCCCCGGGAAGATCCGATCCACACACGCGACGTTCTCCTGGAACCGCCAGAGACAAGTTCCTCCCCCGGAACTCCCTCCTACTGTACTTCCACAACCAGTGGGAACTCTCCAGGAGTCCCCGTAGCAGGCTGAGGTGAACAGCAGGAGTCCAATATCCATATGAATGCAAATCTTAACATAATCATATCATCTCAATGGCTAGCTGGCGTCACCTTTCAACCAAAAATGCCATGCATCATATACTTGGCTCTTAGCAAGTTTTGTTGCCACAGATTAATGGTTTGCAGATGATGCATTTGCTTCCAGTACCTCTCAGGGCCATCTTCCTTTTAATCAGGATAACAGACTAACCCAAAGAATGGGGCTCATATAGAGTTGAACATCAGTGGAGACTGGGATGGAAATTATTTTGTTCATCTGGGGGACAGATGTCTGCCACCTTATATGAGTGGTACACATTACTTCTGGGGAAAAGGGTTAATTCTGTTTTTTTGCACATGAGATAGAGCTCAGACTCTGACAGTTCAAATCTTAGCCAGTTGTAGCCATAGGACAGCCTCAGACCTCTATGCCAGGGGCTACTGGGAAATGGGGGAGCTGATACTTGGGGTAAGACAACTTGCCTGGATTGGTCTTTAGGGAGGGCAGTGGGAGTGTGCCAGAACCCCAGGCTGATTTGTCCTGGAAGGCAGGGCTCCCATCTTGGTGGGCACTGGAAAGATGTAGCATCAAGGGGTTGTGACTCTGTTCTAGATAGAAATAAAACCACTGGAAGGAGGACACCAGCTGGCACTGGGCATACTGAGCTACAAGCCTCGATTTTGAAAGCAACCACCAGTGCCCTAACTAGAAGGTGGACATCTGGACTGCTTTTAGGGACCTCCAGGCACTGAAACACTGAGCCCTAGGACCCCTTGGTTGAGTTGAGAAGCAGACTGTACCTCAGTGGCATGCCACTGTCCTGGACTCCCACAGACAGGTCATACTCCTGGGTCCACCTCCTTGACTCTCATTGGTGAGACACATCTTTCTGAATGGTTATATTTAGGACAGCATCAGGTTAAGGGATGGAGCTGAACTGAGCCAGAGCCATGGGCAGGGGGTTGAGGGGGCAGTCAGGAATGCTGCCAGCCTTGGGTGAGACCATCCCAGAGGTCTTAATAGGGCTCTCACAGGAAAATAGAAAACTATCACTTGTGGGTTGTTTTGTTTTTGTAGTACTGGGGATTCAACCCAGGGCGCTCGACCACTGGACCTCATCCCCAGCTCTTTTTTATTTTGAGACAGGGTCTCACTAAGTTGCTCAGGCTGGACTTGAACTTTGTGATCCTCCTGCCTTAGCCTCCCAAGTAGTTGGGAGTACAAGGCCCTGCACGTGTGGGTTTTAAAAATATATATTTTGGTCTAGACATATAGGTCAGTTGGTAGAGTGCTTGTCTTGCATGCACAAAGCCCTGGGTTCAATCCCCAGCACCACACACACACACACACACACACACAAAAGTGTGTGTGTGTGTATGATTAATCTTTTGAAGAACTCAATGCCCAGGATTTTTGGAGTGGCAGCTTGCCCATTGTTGTTAGATATTAACAACTTTACATTCCTCTTTTAGGAGTGCTTTAGGACCTGTTATCCAGGTATTAGTTCTTCTCCTGAAATTCTGGGTGAAGTTGTTTTGAATCCACCATTTCATGGCCTGTATGGGTCTCAGGCTCTCTCACTTTCCTGGGGTGTAATATTTTTCAGGATATTTCTACCTCTTGGACTACTTTGGAAAATCACTCACACTACCATCTGTTAGTGAGGTGTTGTGGGGGTCTCAGGAAGGGGTCTTATCCCTTCCAGCCTGGGTGTCTGCCAACCCCTGGGCTCCTTGCAGGAGCCCCCACATTGTGCTCCCTGACCATTTGGAGCAACCTCCTTGTTCTGAGACCTCTCCAGCCGGCACCCAGCAAAGGGTTTTGCCAGTTCCCCTCTTTATAATTTAATCCCAGTTGTAAAAATACAAATGTTTTCTCTTTATAGATGTAATTTGCTTTTAAAATGAAATGAATTTCAAGTTCATTTTGACGAGTTTCTCAACAGTCCATAAAATAAATTGGGTTGTGTCATGGTGGTAAGATGAGACACTGATGTTTGCTGTATTTGTGTTTCCAGTTTCCACCTGGATGCCTGAGGCTGTGTAGATGTGGCTGGCACCCCAGAGAGTGGAGCAGGGGGTGAAGACCCAGCACTGAGAGGAGAGAGCCTTGGATAGGCTTGGGCCAGCTTCCCAGTAAGTAGCTGGTGGCTATTACAGGTGATGCCACTTTACACTTGGGTCCATAGAATGAGCACAAGCTTCCAGACACTCAGGTTGTTGCCCTGAACTCCCCCCCTCCCCCCGGCCATCTTACCCAAGAACTACTATAGAATCTGTAGGACCTTAGAGGTTGCTAGTTGCTAGCCCCACCCCCACCCCATCTTGAGCAAGGGCAGGAGACCCTCTGCAGCACCTGGACTCGAGGAGAGAGAGCACCTGACGAGGCAGCTGTCCTGTGTTCCAATATTGAGCTGCTCCTGTGATTAGAAAGTTCTCTCTGCCACATCTGTCTATCTATAACAACTCTGGCTTCCTAATTTAGGCCCCTGAGACTCAAGGAAATCAGCCAATTCCCTCTCCTACAGGGTGGCGCAACAGATGTTTGGGGACAATATGATAGAGTGGAGAATGAGGATCTGGGGTCAAAGATAGTCCTAACTGAATCCAGGACTTCTGTGACTCATTTTCTTGGGACAACAATATGTACCTCATTGAGTCGTCCTGGGGACTAGATTAAATCATGAATAGGGAGCTGCCTGGTGCTGTTATGTCACCAACTGATTCAACTCAATTCAGATTCAACTCAATTATGTTGAAGGATTATATGTCTCAGTTAAAAGGCCACAGATCAACTACCATAAGTTAATGGACGAGGTCACCAACAAGACTGTCCCCAGGTCAGACACCAGCCACAAGTGGGATCACCAGGCCACCTGCACTTCTGACTGACTTGGTTATAAGTTTGGGGGTTCCCATGACCCTTCTTCAGGTTCAGTGATTTACTAGAGTGACTCTGAGAACCTGAAGTGCTGTACTTGTCATTGTAGTTCTGTCATAAGAGCTATGACAAGAACAGCAAATGGAAGAGACACATGGGCCTGGATGGAGGTGGGACACACGGATCTCTCGTGCTCTCTCCATGTGGAATCTGGGCACAGCTCTCTCCCAGAACATCAGTGTGTTTACCCAACTAGGAAACTCCCCCAAGCCTCAGGGTCCAGAGATCTCTAGTTTTTTAACCAGAGGCCTTCATTACAGAAGCATGGTTGATGGACTCATTTGCCATTTAATGGAACTGAGCTCCAGCCCTCTCCCTCCTGGGAGCGTGTGAGGTGGAGTGGAAGCTCCAACCCTCTAATCATGTGCTTGGTCTTTCCAGAGTAGTCAGACCTCCCTTGAAACTATTTGAGGGCCCTGGGTGAGTCACCTTATTAGCATAAACTCAGGTTTGGGTGAAAAGTGGTCATTATAAATAGTAAAAGATATTTCTGCTATCTCTTGGATATTTAAAGAATTCCAAGGGTTTTGAGGTTCTGTGCCAGGACCTGGGGACAAAGACCAGATACTTTCTTTCTTCCATCACACTTGGCCCCACAAACACTGGCCTCTGCTTATCTTCAGCATCCAGCTTGTGAGCTCCTCTTCCTTGTGAGCTTCAGGTTGACATGTTCCCATTGTCTGATCAGAAAACTAGATATTCTCATTGATCTTTTCCTGGATGTTTGTTCTTCCTTTTTGTTAACATAGCTTAAGACTGGATTGGTTCTTTGTGCTAAAACCACATAATTATAGTTATTGAGTGTGCACCTGTTTAGAGTTGAATCACAAGCCACTTATTACTCAAGTTCTTAAAGCTAAGATGATTCTTGCCCCTAAGCGACACCAAATTAGAGCCAAGAGTTAATAACACTTGCTGCAGACCAAGCCATTGACTCTGCTGAGCTTTGCAACAATCTTTTGGGGGCCATTATTACAATCCCCATTTTATATATTGGGAAACCAAGGCACATAACAGGTTAACTAGCCTAAGATCACACAGGTAATAAGTGGCACAGCTGAGATTTGAACCCCGAGAGTTCTTGTTCCACAGTCTATGCCTTTAACCACTGAGCAGCATGCACACAATTTTTATGACCTTCCCAGCATTGTGGGAGGGGAAGAGGGAGCACAAAAGGATGCCTCTGGTTCACAAAGCCAAAGGGTCTGTCCAGCTGGCTGTTGGCATGGCGATGGAATCAGGGCATCCACATCCTATGCCACTCCCATGGGCCCACCTCTGGAACAGCCCTGTAGGGCTGAGCTCCAAGAAGGGAAGGTGGCCAGGACATGTTGGTGTGGGCTCCTCTCCCTTAGCCCCATACTTATTAGTTCCTCATGCTTCAGGGAGGGGGGAACTGCCTCATGGAGCTGTTCCTGGAAAGGGGGTAGGATTCACCTTTCCTCTGGGTGGAAAGATTGAGCTAGGAACATTGAGTACAGACCGAGCTGGCTCAAAACATTCCAGTCCTGGAGAAGCTGTGGGTTCAGGTGGCTCTGGAGCTGGTGGGCCTGTAGGCCTAGGGAACACAGGGAGCTCGCGACTCCATGCTCATCCAGTGCACTCACTGGGGAGTTGCTTGTTACTTAAAATAAATAAATAAATAAATTCCAAGATTCAGAGCTTTGGAAGTGACAAAGAGAATTATTTGCCATGATGAGTCACTAAGCTGAGAGGTGTTGGAGTCAAGCTGGGTGATGCCTGCGAAGGAATTCTGGTCTGTAGCGCTGCCTGCCCAGGACAATCTAGTGGTGACTGCACATCTCCATGGCTCCAGTGCAGTCCTATCATGTTTGACCTTGCAGCCCTTTCTTACCCCAAGCTCCAAGCTGGGTGGGAGCCTGATGGAGGTAGAGTATTCTACTTTTGCTACTGGGGAGTAACTAAAGGGACACTTTACCACTGAGCTACATCCCCAGTCCTATTTATTTTTTGTTTCGAGACAGGGTCTCACTAAGTTGGTTAGGGCCTCACTAAGTTGCCGAGGCTGTACTTGGAACTTTTAATCCTCCTACCTCAGCCTCCCAAGCAGCTGGGATTACAGGTATGTGCTACTGTACCCTGTGAGGTGAAGTATTCTTAAGTAGCCCTTTGCATACAGAATTGACTTGAGGCCACCAGGACACTGTCAGTTGCCTATGTGTGTTCTTTGCATAGGTCATTCTCTTCACTCCCTCATTTGGTGATGGACAAAATGAGACCCAGAGAGGGAGATGAGTGACAGAATTGGGGCAAGATTACAGGCCTCTGGCTTCTGGTCCAGAGCTAATTCCACCAGAAACATCTGGTTGTTCTTTCTCCATTTAGATGAGAGGAAAGAGTCTGGGTTTAAATGTTACTAAGTACAACCCACAGTTGTTCTAGTAACCTGCCATATCTGTTTCGAAATCTCTCTTTAGACTTATTTTTTGGCTGCCATGCCCAAAAGATTCCTTCCACCATCATAGTCCCTCATCCCCACCTCTTGTCAAGTATCTCATTGACACAACTGGTAAAGGGGATGCCGGACTGGGGGGGAGGTGAAAGGGCTTTCATGGGGAGCTGACTAATTAGTGAAAGAGATAAGATGAGAGGTCACAGTTTGATAGCCTTGCAGAAGCGTGTCATGATAACATATGGAGCACCCCTGCTGTCCGAGGCAAGGTGGTGGTTTGAGTGGCCTGGACAGCTCTGGGAAGTAACACATAGCATGAGTTTAGAAACATGAGCCTTTATACCATCTCTTGTCAGGCTTGCTAGAAATGAGCAGCCCCTGGAGTGGATGTTACATTACATGTTACAATCATTAACATAGAGCCTGTAATAATTCACCCCTGACTGCTTATTAGAATTACCCAGGGAGCTTTTAAAAATCCTGATGTCCAGGTCACACTCAAGACTAATTATATTAGAATCTCTGGCATCAGTAGTTTTTAAAGTTCCCCTGGTGATTCCAACGTGCAACCAAGGCTGAGAACCACAGCTCCAGGCAAGGGCTCAGGTGATCATCCATCCAGCCCTTGAGGGACTCTGCCCATGTGCTTTCCCTTGAACTTGCTACCCACCTTTCCCTAAAGGAAGCATGCAAACAACAATACCAAAACATCTGGGTGTTCTCTGTTGATGGGATGGGCTCCCACTGTTCTCCCTGGGCTTACTTATAGCATCCTCCTCCACCCACCTCTCCTGGGGACACTGCAAGGGATGAGGGTAAGAGTCCTGGCAGAAGAGGGAAGAGAGGCCACAGGCAGCTCAGGGACAACAAGAATATGCCCTACTGACCATCAGCACGGCTTTCTTTGTAATGAATGAGCTGCTGGCTGGAATGAAGGTTAAGGCTGGGACACACAGGTCTGCTGAAGCAAGGCTGGAAGTCAAGTGTAGATCAGGACTTGGAGGCCAGGAGGGTTCTCCCAGAGAAGAGAACACTCCATCTCAACAAGGAGGAAGGGCAAGGGAGTGAGAGGTTATGGATGAGAACCTAGGATTTTAATCCCAGTTAATGTTCTTTGTATCTCATACATGTGTTCAAAAACTAACTATGGGTCAGTCAAGGTGCATGCCTCCTTCTGCTGAGAAGGTAATCAGGCCTTAGGCAGAAGGCTAAAGCACTGCGGTGTTAAAATGGCCTGACCCAGACTGAAGGGCCAGTAGAGCTGACACACAGAGGGAGATCAGCTTAGCCAAAGTTGCACAGCTGGGAAGTGAAGGCTAGACCTGTAGCCTTATTCCTCAGAAGGGCTCCATTATAGCAATAAAAGGCACATCCTAGTTCTTCATTCATGCATTTAAAAAAAGTGCTTGAGTAGATAAAATACAGTGGTTGTCCTCGTTCTCACTGCAGGGATCAAGCCTCAGTATGTGGGACTCTGGGCACAACATGGCTCCCTTCAAACAGTATTTATTCTTTTTTCTTGATATATACTTAGTGGGGTTTGGGAGAGAATAAATTTTCCTTTAATAAAAATCACATACCTATTTTAAACTTGGAAAGAGGATCTGATTCTGCATTAAGACACCTTTTACTAAAACAGTGATTCCTTCCCAGAAGGGCGAGCACCAAGCAAAGTGTCTCCCATCTTTTAGTGTTCTTTTGTGGATTTCCCCACCATAATTTTTAGGAGGCTTATAAAAAGGATTTACATTTATTTATTTTGTGGGTTGCTTTGGATCTAATCAGGCCTCCCACATGCTGAGCAAATGCCCTACCACTGAGCTACACTCCACCCCCATAAGAGGCTTACATTTTAGATAAAATACTGAGTCCCAGTAAATAGCTTCTACTATGTGGGTATGCATTATAGAAATGTTCAAAAAGATTTGCAGGTCGTGATTCCACTGGGAACTATCTACTTCAACCCCAGTGTACCCAGTTAAGCTGGGTCCATGTTTTCACTTGGCTCAATGCTGCATTAGTACCCCCTATCCATCAGCACACCTGGCAGGGTCCTGCCCTCTAAGTGCAGCTTACACCCTGCCAAGACTAGCTGCATTCCACTGTGAAGCCTACCAAACCCAACCCTCTGCCTTAGGGAGTGTGTGTCTCAATCGGAACTAACATCATGCTTACCCCATCTCTTCTACAGGGTTCCAGGAGCAGATCACAGCCCCAGCAGGAAAATGAGTGAAGAGACTGTCCCCGAGGCCACCTCCCCGCCGCCCCCGCAGGGGTCGCATTACTTTGACCGCTTCTCCGAGGAAGACCCTGAGTACATGCGCCTTCGCAACCGTGCAGCCGACCTGCGCCAGGACTTCAACCTGATGGAGCAGAAGAAGCGCGTCACCATGATCCTGCAGAGTCCGGTGAGTGGAATCTGATGCAGCTGGTCAGGGAGATGGAAGAGGAGGTGGGGAGGGGAGAGGAGGGGTGGGTTGATTCTCCATGGGACCCAATAGATCAGTCACTCCTCTTCCGGTGCCCAGGTTGTAGGAAGTTAGACCCGCTAAGCAGGACAAAGTGTGTATTTGATTCTCTCCCTGATCACTGGTATTGGCCAAAGCTGAGTGTGTACGGGCAATTTGGCTCAGAAAGTGGGAGACAGACAGGAGCCCTGCCCTGTTTCCTATGACCCTTCGGAGCCTCAGTTTCCAGTTTTCCTTCCCCTCTCTACTGAGAACTGTAACCACGAACAGACAAATCCACATCACCTGGTGGCCAGCAGAGGGCACCACGGGGAAGGCACCGCCATAGAATTCATCCTTGAGGCAGGTAGTGCGTGAGGACAGCTGGTCTGATGGATGACTGAAGTGGGGGCCATTGAGCTGGGCGGAAGAGCAGAGTGGAGGGAGGCAAGGAGGAGTCTGGGAAAGTAGAGCATGGGGCTCCTTAGGAAACAGCCATGAACACTGAGTGTTGGGGACTTCTGGATGGAGTGGAATCTCCAGGTGCTTGGCAAGATGGACACAGAAGCCTGTGCCCAGCTCTTCCTCAGTCCTAAGTGGGATTCAGGGAGCCAGGGCACCTATGAGGTCTGTATGCCACCACGGTGGGGGAAGAACAGTGAAAGCTCACACCCCACAGATGAGCATGGAGAGAATGGATCTGAGGTCTTAGCAGTATTGTGTGGGGAGCCTGGTGGAAGACAGCAGGTGCCAAGAGCATTGGCATGAGGAGTTCCTGGGGAGATCCCCAGAGTATGACTATAAGGGGTGGCAGAGTCAGATAGCACCAGACCTGGTTTCTGGGCCTCTGGCAGGAGATGAACTGGAGGAATTCTGCTTCTTTCTGTGATTTTGTAGAATTGCCAACCTCAAGTGTTTCCTGCTGCCACCTGGTGGGCAAGATGCCAAGTTCATGGCCTTGTTGTCTGAGAAGCTAGGCTTAGGGTAGTGTATCAGAAGTGGAAGTGACCTCAGAGGTCATTAGATCCTTCAGCCCTTCCTTCTTTTTTTTTTTTTTTTTTTATTATTGTTATTAAGTATACGAGGACACTGAGATCCAGAAGAGCCATAGGCATAGCTAATGGAAATCAGGATCACTGCCCACAGGGCAAAGAGAACACGGAGTTCATTCCCAGCGTCTCCTTGGTGCTCCCCACAGAGCAATCCAGGGAGACTTCCGAGGGAATTGCCCCTGGGACCCAGGAATCCCAAGCATGATCCTTGCTTGGCTGACCTAGGGGCTGGGAGTGGGTACTTGACAGAGCTCATCATTCAGTACCTAGGGTGGAAGGGCCCTCAGTTCTCACATGTGAGAGACTCTGAGAGGACCAGCACCTTGGGGTCTGCTTCAGTCTTTCAGGGAGGAGCTGGAAGGCCTCATCCAGGAGCAGATGAAGAAGGGGAACAACTCCTCCAACATCTGGGCCCTGCGGCAGATTGCGGACTTCATGGCCAGCACCTCCCATGCAGTTTTCCCAACATCTTCCATGAGTACGTGGGTGTCTGGGGAGCTGCCAGGAGCAGAGGAGGAGGGGTGTGATGGGGAAGAGAGGAAGGAGCATGGAGAAGAGAAGCAGCTTGGTTGCCAGGCGACAGCACCAGCGTGCGATTGCATTAGCAGGCCTGGGGGAGATCAGCAGAAGCCAGGGAGGTGCCTGGCTCTGTTTTTGATATTGCTGCAATTAAAGACTCACAGAAGAATTATCCCTGATGACAGAAATGGGAGTGGTAGAGGTAACTTCAGGGGATGAGAGGCAGCCATCGAAGCCATTGTCTCTATGCTGCATTAGACAGGCCAACTGAACCCGATAGATGAGCCAGAGGAGCCAGGGCTAAGCATGAACCCACCTTCCTGGGCTGTGTATGAAGCTCTGACCATGACCTTTAAAAACAAAACATCAAATATAGGATGATGGTTGACAGTTAGGAAAATAATCAAGAAAGATTATCGTACTGTGTTCTTGAAACCTGAAAGTGATGACTATCAATATTTTGATGTATATCTTTTTAACTTTTCTCTTAGCATATAGATTATGCAAGTAAAAATATAATCACATTATATATATCATTATAATAATATATTCTAACTAATTTTTTACATAATAAAATATGGTTCTGGTCAGACACAGTGGTGCACTCCTGTAATCCCACCTACTCTGGAGGCTGAGGCAGGAGGATTGCAAGTTAGAGAAGGTCAGACTGGGCAATTTGGCAAGAACCTATCTTAGAATAAAAAATTAAAAGGGCTGAGGATGTAGCTCAGTGGTAGAGTGGTAGGGTGTGTCAGTAACTCATATGTACACAATTTGGTTCTGCAATGTAATTTTTGGTGGATGTATGCTATTTAATCAATTTTCTGTTATTGGACTTTTAGATTATTTTCAGTGCTTTACTATTATAAAAAATACAGTAAACATCCTGATTTAAAAAATCTTAGAATGTATACTTGACTATTTTCTCTTAAGTTATAAAATGTAGATTTGCTGGATCAAAGCATATCCACGATTTAAGCCCTTTGTGCATATTGGCAAATTTTTTACTTTCTCCATTCTGGAGAAAGAAAGATAAAATCAACTTATGTTTCCAGTGGCAATGCGACAGAGTGCTCATTTCTTCACCCTGATCTGTAATATATCTTAGCATTAATTTCATCATTCTGATTTGACAGTGATAAATAGTACTTTGCATTTTAATATGCACTTATTTTATTACTATTGAGTAGATATATTATGCATTTTAATATATATTGGATGTGATTTTCTTTTTGTAGTAAGTTGCCTATTTGCATTCTTTGCTGATATTCCTATTAGCATATTTTTTTCATACAGAACCTGGAATCTTTATAATGAATTCTATTTCCCTGCTATCTACTAAATACATTGCAAGTTTTTCCAGTTTTCCTTTGCCTTTTAAATTCTTTCATGGTATTTTCCATCTCTAGAATTCTTTAATTTTCATGTGGTTGAATCCATTGCTGTTTTCCTTTGTGTATTCTGTTTTTGTTGGCATGCTTACAAAAACGTTCCCATGTTTTATCATCCCAGGGAACAAATGCCCTTAATTATTCGCTTGTCATTTTTTTCTCAAACATGTGTTTATTTTTTAAAATGCCTTCAGAATTATTTTGTCAAGCTCTGCCCTGAACGCCTCGTCTACCTTAAACAATTGATTTTAGAATTTTTCCTGGGATTAGATGAGTAGATTGATTTTGTAGAGAATTTATAAGTGTGTAATTTATATTAAAATATAATCTCCATGGGGGAAAATTGTATGTTTGGTTCTAGAATACTGTATTCTAGAATAGTGTCCTAGACTTACAATAGCATTGGGCAAACAGGAGGCTCTTTAAAACTATTTGCATGAATTGATTAAATCTTTTCAGATATGAGGGGTGTTTTCTCCATATATTTAAGGTCTATTTTCATATGGTCCCTACTGATGTTAATCCCTGAAACTTTGTCACTTTAAATGAATCTTTCTGTATTCAGTTTTCTTTTTGATTATAGCTCTCACTTAAGATGGATAGATAGATAGATATGAATTATCTTGGGGTTTGTGTATAGAACATCACATATCTGCAAATAATGTATATTTTTGCCTTTATCATTCCAAACACCTTCCCATATTTTATCATCCCAGGGAACAAATGTACCCTTTGGCTTATTATTCCAGCTTTTTCATTTCATCCACTAGAACTTTCAGAACAATGTTAATAATAGATTAGAGAGTAATCATCCATGTCTTGTTTCTGACTTTAATGGAAATTCTTTTGCCACACAGTTTGAGGTAATTATTCTTTCTCATGCCGAGGAAATATATTTTTATTCTAATTCATTATAGGTCTTCCTCAGAAGTGGTTGTTGCTGCATTTGAGGGCATTTATTGATTTTTGTTTCCTTGATCAGTTGTTGTGATGAGTTATAGATTTCTGAATACTGAAATCTTTTCATTCCTGAAATAAATGATTCCTGGTCTTGATATATTCTTTTCAAAATACTTTGGATTTGATCTGATGAAATTTTATTCAGGATCTTTTGTATACATCTTCACATGTGAGACTGCTCAACAGTTCACTTTTGGGGTGGTCTTAATCCAGTATTGGGATTCAGGCTGTGGTTTCCTAACATGATCCAAGGTGTGCTTACCTTTCTTTTTGCCCTGATGGATTTTGAATGCAATAGGAAGTCTTTGTTCCTTAAAGTTCATTACTCATTTATAAAGCCATCCAGATCTGAAAACGTTTTGGAGATTTTTTTTTGACACTTTCCCCTCAGTTTTATCTTTGTTTTTGCTGCTTATTGAGTAAATTTTTGTCATATATTTCATATAAAATTATTTACTTCCTGGATCTTTTCAAAATTATCAGTTGCTATTTTGACTATCTTTTGGTGGTGCTAGGGACTGAACTCAGGGCCTCAGACATGCTAAGCATGTTCTCAACCACTGAGCCACATTGCCAGTCTCCTTTCTTCTTATTCTAAAAGGTATCAGAGATTGTGTTTTCTCATTTCTAATTGGTTGAATCCATGTTCTTTTTGTTAACAATATTGGATTTTATTGCATTATATTTGGAAAACATGGCCTATTTAATTTCCGTGTCAAGGATTTATTGAGATTTTTTTCCTGTGGGTGTGGCCTAATGTTTTCAAATGATGTATGGTTATAGGAGATCTCTAGGGCATAACATTTAACCCATATTTCCATTTGATTTTTTTGTATAAAATGGAAGTTGTGTTGTCTTCCACTGTATTTGATTTCTGTCAATTTCTCTTTGTATTTATGATAGTTTTTCCTTTGTATATCTTAATGAAATATCCAAAGCACAATTATTCATTATAGCTGTAGTTTTATTATGGATTATACCTTTAATCCATATAAAATGACCTGCAAAATGGTTTTCTTTGCCCAAGAGAATATTGTTGTATTTTGATGTTAATGTTGTGTCCTCTGTTTATTTCTGTTTTTATTTGCCTGATGTACTTTGGATCTTCCTTTTATTTTTACCTGTTTTGGATCACTTCAATGTTTTTAGCCTTTTTTTTTTTTTTTTAACCTCCTATAGAAGCATTGTCTCCTGGCTTTCTATGGCAATAATAGAGAAACTTGAGACAGATTCTTTTTTGTTGTTGTTCCTTTGGAGCTAACCAAAAGTTTTCTTCTTCTTTTTTTTAAAGATGTTTCTAGATTTTCCCCTAATCTATGTAGTTCATAAATGTTATCTGTAAATATATAATTTTTATGGACTGTTTTGGTCTAAATTATAGTAAGGTCTTACAATTTGTATACATAAACCTTTATTTCAGTTTAGAAAAATTTTCTTCTATTATATCAATACTAATTGTCTAAACCCAGGCTCTCTGGTCTTTGTCTCTGGTTTTTCCCTCCCACGTCTGTCTGTCTATACTCCATCATTGTCTTCACGTCTCTGTCCCTGAACTTTTACTTTTGAGAGACAAATAGGGCTGACCGGTATTCCCATTGCCTCATCAATCAGCATCTGCTAGATGGATGCCTGAAAATACAATGAGTACATGTCCAGAGGTGGGTGTGGAGAGGAGAAGTTGTCAGGGTCATGAGTTATTCTCTGTGTAGCTCCATTTGTCTTAGATTTTTTTTTTCATAGGTGTGCTCTTCACTATTGTCTTTCAGGGAGGTCACTGAGTTTTCATCTGGCCCAGTTAGACCTGTGTCATAAACATGGTGTTCAACCAGACTCACTTATGGAGCTGGTCAGAGTAAGAATCCTGTACATTAAGATCTGAGAGCAGAGGTGTGGGAACTCTTGTAGAGCCCTGCTGTTCTCATCTCCTGCCCCTGGGTCCTGTGGGTGGAGGAATCCTCACAGTTGAAACTCCTCAGAGTCAGGGAAGGGAATTTTGTTTGAGACCAAACACAGAAGATGTGACGGAGTGAATGTTTTCAGGCCTATTTTGGCCTCTTGGCAACCCTAGAACTCCACAGTTCTTTGTAAGAGAGGAATTGAAAGAACGGGGATATGAACCCTCTCTCCAGTAGGCCCACTTGCCTGGCTTTGCCAAGACCTAATGTCCTTTCCTTTTGCTGCTAGGGATGAAGCAAAGAGGTAGTTTCTTGTGTGGGAAACCCACCTACAGGACGGGATCTAAGACTAGTCAATTTTGTATTAGAAATCCTTGACTTTGGAGTTTTGTCGTTGCTCTTGCTCATCTAACTGGGACTTTAGAACACTGGTGTCCCTGGCAATGCTGCATTCAGTGGACACATGCCCTGGGGGGGGGTGGGGGCATCTCATATGGTTGATACAGGCCCTTTGTGGTGGTGAGGCCCACCCTCACATCTTCAGACCATCTCATTTTAACTAATGGCCAATATGATACGGGAAATACATCACATTGTAGTCGAGGCGGGGGTTACAAATATGATAAAAGTTTCCAAAGAGCTTTTTAGTCCATTAGAGTTTTAGTGGGGAGCTGGGAGAGGCAGCTTTGAGAGACTCTCAGGCAGACATCATTGTAAGCTAGAATCCTTGCTTATTGATTCTCTTATTGGTTCCTAGACACTGAGTCATCCAAGTGCAGGGCATTCAGATTCCTTGTTCCACCTCCCCGAGTGAGGCACTGTCATCATGGTTAATGGAATGGACTGGACATCAACTCCGAGACTCTCTCGGTGTTCTGAGGATGAGACTGTCAAACCTTCTTGGCCTGTTTCCAAGTCTCTTGCTTCTCCAGAAATTTCCCAGAAGGAACCATCACATAAAAAGAGTCTATGTGTGCAGAGAGGAACAGACATGCCCTAATGGTAACCTCAAACACATTGGTCAGCCTTGACTTCAGGAGTTTATGACTCCTGAAAATGACTCAAGAAAGTCAAGGAATTTATTTCCCAACTGACTTGGCTTTCTAAATTACAAAAAAAAAAAAAAAATTGTTACATGATCTAGCTAAAATGGCATGATAATATCAGATCTAATGACTGGTAACTTCTTCATTAGAGCTAACTGATGAAATAGACCTTTATTTCCACTCAGAAATTTATTCTTGTTTTTTTAAAATTAATTAATTAATTTTAATTAGGTAAGTATGACATCAGAATAAATTTTGATTCATTGTACACAATTGCAGCACAACTTTTCATTTCTCTGGTTGTATATGATGTAGCGACGCTCCATATGTGCAGTTATACATGTATCTAGGGTAATGATGTCCATCTCATTCCACCATCTTTCCTGCCCCCATATCCCCCTCCCTCCCCTCTGCCCCATCAAACTTCATCCATTTTTTCCAAGTCCATTGGGTATAGACCAAGGAGTGGGATAGCAGGGTCAAATGGTGGTTTAATTCCAAGTTTACTAAGGAATTTTCATACTGCTTTCCAGATTAGTTGTAGTCCCAATTTGCTGTCCCACCAGCAATGTGTGAGGAATGTGCTTTTTCCTCCACATCCTCACCAACATTTATTGTTGTCTGTATTCTTGATAACTGTCACTCTAATTAGTGTGAGATGAAATCTTAGAGTAGATTTGATTTGCATTTCTCTAATTACTAGAGATGTTGAATATTTTTTCACATATTTGTCGATTGATTGTATAATCTTCTGAGAAGTGTCTGTTCAGCTCCTTAGCTCATTTATTGATTGGGTTGTTTGTTATTTTGGTGTTAAGTTTTTTGAGTTCTTTATATATCCTGGAGATTTATGTTCTATCTGATGTGTGTGTGGTAAAAATTTGCTCCCAGGATGTAGGCTCTTTCTTCACCACATTGATTATTTCTTTTGCTGAGAAGAAGCTTTTTAGTTTGAGTCCATTCCATTTGTTAATTCTTGATTTTATTTCTTGTGCTTTAAGAGTCTTGTTAAGGAAGTCAGGGCCTAATATGATGAGATGAAGATTTGGGTATTCTTGGTTTTACTCGATGTCCATTCTTAGGGTTTATGGTAATCTTGGCATTCTGAGAACTCTTTATTCTGTGATCTGAGTGTTACCATTTTTTAAAAATCAAAAGCAATGCCATGTTTAGTTAAATGAGCAGAGGACTTTATGGACTTTCTATGGACTTTCTCCCTCTGGAAGAAGATTAAAGAATATTGATTGCCTAGGGATGTTTCTTGTATAGCTGTAAGAATTTGAAGAGGCTTAGTGCAGGAATAGGAGGGTTGAGCTGATGGGAGCTCCTGACCCTGAGAGCTGTCCTATCCCTACTGCTGTCCCCTGCAGACTTTTCCATGATGACGCCCATCAATGACCTCCACACTACTGACACCCTGAACCTGGCCAAGGGGGAGCGGCGCATGCGCTGCAAGATCAGCAGTGTCTACCGACTCCTAGACCTCTATGGCTGGGCCCAGCTGAGCGACACCTATGTTACGGTGAGAAAAGCACCTGGAGCAGGATGGGACATTGCATGTAGCCCCCACAAGAGCCAAAAGGGGAACTCTGATCACTAAAACAGATAACCTACCCAGTGGACACTTTGGGTGGGGTCCAGGATCACCTGGACCCTACTTCTGAGGCTGTTCTTGAACATTGTGAGATTCCTCTTCACGCTGTGGTTCCCCAGCTCCATGGACAGCTGAGTCCTCTTCATCTCTTAATGGTTGGGGGAGAGGCAAGAGTTCATTAAAGTGGATTCAGGAAGGAAGAGATTCAAGTGTCCTTGGAAATGTCCCATTTCCCTATTTGTCCCTAAAAATGTGTGTTTTTCCTGCAGCTGAGAGTCAGCAAGGAGCAGGACCACTTCCTGATTAGCCCCAAGGGAGTTTCCTGCAGTGAAGTCACGGCGTCCAGCCTGGTGAGTACCCTTGGCATCTCGAGGACTCCTCCACAGCAGGGGGGAGGAGGGAGAAGGGATGAGCTGGAGTCCTCCAAGTGGAGAAATGGGAGGATGGGAGGGGGGCGGACACATTGGAATGAGAAGCTCAGAAACACGAGACCTAACTGATGCTGGGGCTCTTAGAGGTTGCTTCTGGATCCCTCCCAGGCTGCTCCTTTTAGGTGGGATGGGAGGAGGCATCCAGAAGGTGGTACAGGCCAGGAAAGATTTCTGGGTGGAAGGGACAGAGCAGTAGAAAGGACTGTCTCGAAAGCAGAAGCGCCCAGTGCTTCTCAGAGACACAGGCTGCCATTCCTTGTAGCTGGGAGGGGAGGACACCACCTGGGCGCTTGAGTCATGTCCAACTGTAGAGTCTAGGTACTCGGTCAAAAGTCCAGGCTGACAGAACCACTGAACATCCAGGAAGAACAGGACCTCAAGGTTGGCCAAGGCCATGTTATATGCAGAAAAGGACACTGGTGCTCACAGAGGGTATGTGACCCAAGGAGGTGACGGCCAGGTGAGAACTGGGATCACAGAGACAGGAGCAACACGGGCTCTGTTTTTAAAGGCTTTATTGTCTGGTTGGGGGAGACAGGCAAGGTAGTCACTGAGGACAGCTCAGAGTGTAGAGTACTCCAGGAGAGCTTTGGGAGCCCAGGGAGGGACACCATGCTCTGCCAACAGCCCCAGGAGGTGGAGGCATGGAGGGAAGAGCCTTCTAATTGAAACAATGGTGCAGAAGGGAGTTCTGGTGAGTCCATAGGATAAGCAGACTTACCTGGCCAGCAGGGAGAGGGCTGGCAGAGGTGTCCTGACCTTGGCAAGAGCGTAGCATGCTCCAAGCTCTGATGTTCATGGGTCCCGTTATACCAGGGAGAACAGGCAGGTAGCAAGTCTGGCGTAGATGTTCAGAATCTAGAGGTGAGGCTGGAAATGGGGTGGGGACCAGATGATAAGAAGCCTGGAAGGACTTGTTACAGCATTTTGGCTTTATTCTGCTGGAATTTCAGAGCTGCTGGTGTACTATAAGCACTTACTCAGCACACATCTGAGCAAGCAGGGAACTAGCCTGAAGGAAACCAGAAGTTATCACTGGACACTCAGGTTCCAAGTGCCTGAGGGGGAGAGTTGCTGCCACTGCCAAAGTGTGGAAGTCACGTTCATTTTGTAAAACTCACTTAACGAAGTGTACTGAAGTACTATGAGTGGTACAATCGGGTTTCCATTGTGTAAAGGTCACTGACCATGATGTGGAGGCCAGATGATATCAGGACAACTGGTTAGTGCTGTTACAGTAAGCCGGGCAGAACATTTTGGTCCTGTGGGCTTTTGGGGCCTGGCGATCAACTGGATTGAGATTTGAGTTTGAGGAGCTGGTGGGACATTCAGGAGGACAAGTCATTTGACATCTGATTATTCTAGGTTTAGAAGAGACCTAATCTTGAGATAGAGGCTTGAGAGTCATGATCATGTGTTACTCAGGGAGTATGTATAGTCTTAGGGCTGCAATGTATGGTTGTGCAGTTTGTATACTGCACAAGGGAGCCTGGCTGGCAGGGAAGATTGAAGAGGGTGAAATTCAGCCTGTGTGCCACTCACTAATGCTTGGCTTCTTCAAATTAGCATAGAAGCAACATCCATGTGCCAAGCCCTGCACCCCTGGGGCTACCCTCAGAGGGAATATTTGTTTATTCATTTGTGCAAAGGCACCTCATGGGTTGGTGGTTGTCTTATTAGCTGTGGAGATTCTTGAGTGATCACAGGTCACACATTCAAGGACGAGGCAAGAAACACATGAAGTCAAAGAGGGGCCAGCCCAGAGTGGGAATTCTGAACTCAGCACACATCGGAGCAAGCAGGGAACTAGGATGAAGGAAACCAGAAGTTATCACAGGACACTCAGGTTCACAGTGCCTGAGGGGGAGAGTTGCTGCCACTTCCAAGTGTTGAAGTCACGTTCATTTTGTAAAATTCACTTAAAGAAGAATTTCGTAAGAGGGGATTTACTGGACATCTTACTGATGCTTCTGCTTAAGCAGATGATGTCAGTAGCCTGTCCCTTCCCCCACACCAGGGTCTGTCTCCTTCCTTTAGTCCCCTCTGCTGGGGCTTTCAGGGATGGAGATGCAGGCAGTTTATAGGACTGCCTTGTAGGCTACCTTGAAGATGGCTCCACTGCTTCAGCTTGAAAAGCCCAAGTTATACTTTTTAGAAGCTCTAATCTAGCTCGGTAATGTCCAGGGGATATCTGTAATCAGTAAATAGATTAACTACCAGCAAGAGGGAAATTGCTCTGGCGAACAGGGCGTGTTCTCAGCGCAAGTGTTAGGAGGACCTCTTTAAGGATTTGGGTTGGTGTTGGCTGATGGGGATGTGGCCTCGGAGCGTGTGCTGTAGGGTTGCAGCAATTCTAAGATTGGATGTTTTCCCAGTTGCTATCCAGGGGGCCCCTGGCTTCGAGTGAGGCTTTAGCTCTTTGGTAAAGAAGCAGCAGTTCCTCCCGTGAACCAGGAGAGGGGGGTATTGGCCGATTTTGTACTTGCACTGTGTTGTCTGAGTCAGTCTGTTTATATATGCTTAAGGAGTGGTCATTTGTCTTGTTGTGTCAGTTACAAAGTGACCTTCTCTGATGTTGGCATTTTGTGAAATTGTCTAAGTAAGGGACACCATGGCCAGCCACAGCTTGTTCTCTCCCTCTTGTTTCCTCATGCAAGAGATTGGACACACACACACACACACACACACACACACACACACACAAAATAACCATGTGAGTTTTAGAGTCAAAAGTAGATTATAAAGCCAGTGACTTCGTTCTACTAATTTTTAAACTCTGCCTTCTGGGTGGTTGGTAAATGGGTGTGCAGTATACTGGTCTCTTTACCTTTGTGTATGATTTTTAAATTTAAAAATAAAAAGACTCAATTTAGACATGATTTCCTCTGGGAAGACTTCTGATCCTCCTGTTCTGCTGGGATTAAAGACTCCTTCTACCTAGTTCTAGAGAATTCTGTGAATGACTAAATTCTTGTAACTCAAAGTGGGGTCCGTGACCCACAGCATGGGTATCACTTAGGAACGTGCTAGAAATGCAGAATTTGCATTTTGACAGGGGATTCACATGCACAGAAAAGTCTAAGGAACTCTGTTCTAGCATTTCCCCTGCTGAATGATATCATCTTGTGATCCCTAAAGATTGTTCACTCTCTGAGGGCAGGACTGGGTCCTTGTCCTTCAACACCAAACTCAGCCATTGCTCCTGGGGTCTAGAATAGGGAATAGAAGGGTTGGTGAGTGCAGGGCTCACCTCCTGGGGGAGGAGGAAAGGCCCCACCCATGCTGTTACTCTGAGACTCTTCTCTGGCACAGATCAAGGTGAACATCCTGGGAGAGGTGGTGGAGAAGGGCAGCAGCTGCTTCCCGGTGGACACCTCGGGCTTCTGTCTGCACTCAGCCATCTATGCAGCCAGGCCTGATGTTCGGTGCGTCATCCACCTGCATACGCCAGCCACAGCAGCGGTGAGTGGTGCTTTCCTGGCACTCTGAGGTCCTCATCCACTGTCACCTCCCTGCACAGCAGCCAGATCCAGGGCACCTGCATCTGAAAGATTCTCCCTGAGGCAAGACTAAGACTTGATGATGGAGTTGTGCCAAGCATGTGTGTCTGGAGAGCCCAAGGCCAACTCATGGAGTAGAGTGAGGGTTCCCTCCATGCTCCTTGCTCTTCATAAGAGGTGGGAGTCAGGGTCATAACCTGTGCTTTACCACTGGTTCCTGGCACTTCTGCAGCCCCAGAGCCATAAAATGGTTTCTCATTGGTCTTCCTTGCAGAGACATGTCGGTTTCTGCACTGAAACCAAAGCTGAGTGTTTTCTCCAACCCATCCCGGGGATCTTGAGCCTGCTCCACCTGGTACAAACTCCCATCCCTCCTTCCTGGAGTCACAGGACCACAGCCGGGCTGGGGCAGGACAGCAACAGCTCTCTTGAATCATTGTACCCAGCATTTCTAACAGCTGGTGTATTGGTGTGAAAACTGACATTAGAGGCAGAAGCATGAGAGCAGATCCCAGCCGGTGGAGGAGGAGACCCAGGCCTTTCTCTGTAGCTGCTCCCCTGACCCTGCCTGCCCCAGAGCAAAACTGGACTGTGCTGGGCTGTGGAAAAGGCCAGTGGAACTGGGGGCAGCAGGTGCTAGCCATTCCATTGTCTCCCTACAGGTCTCAGCCATGAAGTGTGGCCTCCTGCCTGTCTCCCACAATGCCCTGCTGGTGGGGGACATGGCCTATTATGACTTCAACGGGGAAATGGAGCAGGAAGCTGATCGCATCAACCTGCAGAAGTGCCTTGGCCCCACTTGCAAGGTTCGCTCAGCTCTTCTGGGAAGGTGCTCTGGAGTGGCGTTGTCAAAACCGACATCACGAAAGTGACATGTATTCACTAGAGAATGTTTAGAGGTTGCAGATAGGTTTCACACTACTAGATTTTGGTGTACACCCTAAGTGTTCTCATATATACCTACAAAATTGGGATCATAAAATATGTTCTCTTTTTTGCCCTTAGCAAAATATAGTATTATCATTAAACATTTTCTGTCACTATTTTAAATTTTTAAATTATGCCTTATATGAATAGCTGACTGCTATTAGCTGAGCAGTCCTCTAGGGTAGGATATCAGAAGGCTTGTCTTCACCCCCTCAAATTTTCTCTTCATATAAACAACATTGGGATCAAAATCCTTTTGACTAAATCTTCCTATGCTTGAGATAATTTCCTTAGGACAAATTTCTAGGGATGCACATTTTATAACTCTTGCTTCATATTGATCAGTTGCCTCCCCCTAACAACTCTCTGTCCTTCCCCATGTCTAATATAGAGGATGTTATTTCCCTGCAGTCTCCCCAAACTTGAGTGTTATCACATTCATTCATTCATTCATTCATTATCAACCTGCTAGAGAAAAGTGGAACACCGTTACTGCTTGGGTGAAGTCTAAAGCCCTAACATACAACAGCACACACTTGAGCTTGGAAACAGCCTGGGTTGGTGGTTGCTTGCCACCATCTTGGCAAGGCACTCACTGTCTATTTCCTGAGTCCCTGTCTCCCTGTCTCTAACTCAGGTGAGAAGTCTTACCTCTCTTTCCCAACATCCTCCAAAGTATCATGAGCAGTGTCAGGACAGGGATGAGATTTTTACACTTTAAAGTATTATAAGAAATTGAGAGAGGGGGTGTTTACTGTTTGCAGTCTTTTGTGGGCCAGAGTCATTGTCTCCATCTCTCTGGACTTGAGAGAAAGGGTCTGCAGCTGTTTTAAGTGAGAGGGTGTGCTGTTGAGAGCCTCGAGGCCTCAGCCCAGGCTCTGCAAGGACAGATCCGATCCATGGACCTGTATCTCAGCTCCCATGTGGGCCCTGTCTGGCTTTAGAGAGTTCTCAAGGGAAAAACCAATCAAGTAAACTTTCTGGCAGGGAAGATAGGCTTGGCCCTTGGGGATGGGTACTCTTGGTGTAAATTCATTTCTGTCTCCTCCTCTATCCACCTGCTTCCAGCTAAGACTGAAAAATTGGACCAATAGTGAGAACCTCAGGGTTCAAGTTCATATTTTTGCCTCTGATTAGCTGGAAGACTTTCTGTTTCTTAAGATTTCTATTTCCACATCTATAAAATCAATTTGGGAGACCAGTGTAGCCTCTTTCACAGAACTGTGGAATCCTGGAGCTGCCAGGGCCTCACTGAGTTTATGGAGTGAAAACCTGAGGCCCAGAGAGGGGATGCCACTTACCTGTTTTTGCAGAGCCACCTCAAAGAACTGTCCTCTTGGGTTTTGGTCCTAAGTCAACTAATTCACAGGAGCAAGAGATGCTTTTGAGGTTGAACTCTTGTATTAGACATCAAAAAATTCATTCGTTTACACACACACACACATACACACACCCAGTTTTTCTGATTTCTGAGTTCTCTGACACCTAAAAATCCAGGCATTGTCCCCCCAAATTTAAGTACCCCGAGTTTAATCCCCAGTACCACCCCCCCCCACAAAAAAAGCCTTTTCAATTTCAATTTCAATGCAAGGTGGCATTGGGATGTTTGATTAGGGAGAATGAATAAGGAGCTGGGGGAGGGGCTCTGGGAAGGGCTATAGAAAGTGCTCTAAATAAAATAAAAAATCTCTCCCTCTTAAGTTTTGAAGGCTTGAGGTTTAATTGGCTTTTTCCTCCTCCACAGATCCTGGTGCTAAGAAACCATGGCATGGTCGCTCTAGGTGACACCGTAGAGGAGGCATTTTATAAGATCTTCCACCTGCAGGCTGCCTGTGAGATACAGGTGAGCGCATCCCTCTGGGAAGTGGGCCCAGGAGTTGGCTCTGATGGGTGCCTGTGGGTGAAGGCAGTGGCCCTGCTGGCTCTGAGTTGGGGAGTCCTTTGCACCTGGCCCTGTGACACTCTTGTCTGTTTTCTCATCATGGCATCACTTCACACTTCTGAAAATTCACATTTAGAGTCAGTTCTGTGAGTTGGCAAAACCGATCACCATTGTCTGGCCACCCAACGTTTGGGGGTCAAACCTAGGACAGGGAGCTGTTTGGACTCTTCAGCTAGAAGAGGGAGAGATTGTCATCGTGAGTATGCCATGCTTACATGTTACCTGGGTGCACCTGCGGCACCTAGCTGTGCCCAGCGTGCAGGGTCGTTTTGGTGTCCTGTTTGCCCCCTCCGGCTAGCCCAGCAGAGCAGAGCTCAGTCGAAGGCTGCTGCCTCTCTCTGAGGCATTACTCTGGGAGGAAGTAGATCAGTCCAGAAGAATCCAGAATAATCGCTAGTGGAGCTCTATCAGTAGTTTTTAGAAGACTATCTTTTCTTTGAAAAGAAAGCTGTGAAGCCGGTGATAAAGAGGTTTTATGGGAAATGGTGTGAGACCACCTCCCTGCCCCCAAATAGCCAGAACCAGAGACCCAGGGGAGGTGGGCAGAGCCAGGTGGTGCCTCCCTGGTGTGGTGTCCTTCCCCCAATCAAGGATACTGGCCCTGAATTCTGACTATTGGCTGGTGTCAGAACCAACAGAACCTCACTAGAAAGGGAAGCCGCTGGCCCTTCCCCACACCTGAACACTCAAGGACTCCACATTTTGCCTCTGGAGAAGAAAGAGGCTTCCCTGAGAAAATAGCTCATGGAAACTCCTCATCCTCAAAAGACAGCTTAGCCCTAAAAATGGATGGAGACAGATGCCTGTGAGTCCCCGCCACCCCCCCACCCCCGCCCCGGCACAGTGAAGTATGTGTCTTCCAGGCCCTGGACCCTGGAAGTGGCCACTGGGCAACTTAAGCAAAAGCAGAGTGGTCATGTGTGATCAAAGGGCAGTGCTGCCGGCCACCCTCCCTGACAGCCCCCCATGGCTGCTGTCACTTTCTGTTCAAGACTGGTTTGATGTGACCTTGTTAAAGTACCTTAGGCGATGTGGCTAGCAACCCCCAGAGAAGCTCCAGTGGCTTTTTCCCAACTGTTGGGGCAGAGAGGCTTCTAAAGCATGGAGCCGGAAGAAGTGGAAGAAACCCAGAGATGATGAGAGCAGAAGGTGGTGGATTAGGACACGGGAAAGCACAGGTAGCAGCGATCTGCTACGGGGATTGTACTGGGGTCATGTGAGGTAGAGGGGGCAGTGCTGAAGCTCTGTTTCCACCCTGGGCCTCGTTTTCTCCCTCAGTCACATTGGTAAACAAGCAGACGTGGCTGTGGTCATGTTTGTAGTTAAAGGCTGAGTGCCTGTTCAGCTCTCCTGGGAACTCTTTACTCCCCATCAGTTTGGGGTTCCAGAAAACTGGGTCATCCCTAGCTGAGAGACGCAGTTCCCTGCTCTGCTGACAGGCAGATGGGAAGATGCACAGGCAGTTCTTCTCCATCTGCTACCCATCACCATGGAAACTGGTGGAGGAAGAGGGAGGTGGGAGGAGGCAGCCCTTGCAAGGTTATGAGCCATTCTTTCCCTCCCTCCTCCTCCATTAATGACCAGTCTGAGGGGATGTTGCATCTTAGAGTTCATTTATCAGCAACATTCACGTGGAACTCCTTAGGGACCAGGGGCTATTCTAAGTACTTTACAATCATGGCCTTAAAGATTCCTCACAAGGTAGGCATTGCTATTTTCATTTAACAGAGGAGAAAACTGAGGCACAAAGATGACATAGTTGCCCGAAGTCACATAACAAGAAAATGACAGGGATTCAAACCCAGACAATCTGGCACCCAATTCCGTGCCCTTAAATAATACCCGGCACTGCGTTTCCAGGGCGGTAAGGGTCAGTGGGAACTGTCACATGGGCATATGGGCGTGTGTCTTGGGTGAAAAGAATGTGGAATATGTTCTTACTTCTGGCTCTTCCCAAGCAGATGGGGTTCACCTGGTAAACCTACCTGGCTGACCTTCAAGAAGTAGCACAGGGTCCGCAGTTAACCCTGGAATGTCACACACTCTCAGGCTGTCCAGACCCTCATGGGTTTATAGGCTTGTGTTTATTTATCAGCAGGGTAAATGGATCCTTTCATTTTCAGTAAAAAAATATAGTCACAAAATGCCAGCACACTGCAAGTTTATGTGCTTAGGGCAGCTCCCCTGTAGTAAACAGGCTTACATGTGGTATCCAGTCTTCCTCAGGATGTAGATGCATTTATTAATGGGTAGCTTGGGACACTGACTCACTAGTGAAACTACTCAGAAGCCACTCTCCATCTCTGTAACCAGACTGATCCATCCAAATCCTGACCAGCCATATCTGAGTGGTAGGTATGTGGGAGTCCATAGAATATAACAGTCAGATAAGCATGGAATTGGAAAAAAAGATTAGTAAGTAAATGTTTTTTTTAGGATTATTCTAAAACTGCCTGCTTTATACACATACTTCTTCTCTCAATACTCCACATCCATGACCTGCAACCACCTGCATCATCCCCTCCCCATGGAGCTTTGATGGTGAGAGAAATACTACAAGTCCATAAATGAAAGCTGTCTGGCCCCATGCACCATACCTGGCCATATAGTGACACTTCACCTGTCTTCTTTTGGGGGATTTCATTGACTGGCTAACCTTATCATGGAGGATGCATTCTTTATTTAGACCTGTTAACTCTTCCCATCAGGTTACACTTTTAGACCAATTTTCACTGGTTGGTCTAAAAGCTACACTATTTTTTTTCAAGTGACTTGATTCACGTGTACGTGCACACACACACACACACACACACACAGTGAGAGAGAGAGAGAGAGAGAGAGAGAGAGAGAGAGAGACAGACAGAGAGACAGAGACAGAGAAAGTGTTTAAATACAGAAAAATAAAGAGAATAACAATAGACATCTACCACTCAGATTGTACTAGGGTCTGAATCCAGAGGCACAGCACTGTCCCCAGCCCTTTTGACTTTTTAAGACAGCTAAGTTGCTGAGACTAGCTAAGTTGCTGAGACTGGCTTTGAACTTGTGATCTTCCTGCCTCAGCCTCCCAAGTTGCTAGGATTACAGGCATGCACCACTGCACCTGGCAGATTTAACAAATATTAATAACCTTTTTGATTCAAATATTTAACTCTTGAAGAAATAAATTATTACAGACAAGAATTGAAGTTCCCTTTACAGCCATTTCCAATCTCATCTTGCCTCCTCAGAAATAATGACAATTCTAAGTTGGTCTGTATCCCAGGTAAATTTTCAGTTCCCTGTATTATTTTATTCCTAAGGTTTAACACTTGCTATTTTTGGCTTCTTCTCTGCGGTCTCTAAAAACTGAAATTAGAAAAGTAATTACTAATATCTCATTCCCCGGAAATAGTTGCATGTCCGATGAGTTTTGAGTGGCTTTTCCTCAATTTCCCCGGTATTTCTAGTTCTAAGTTCACCTCGTGGCCCTCAATGTCCTATTTTGTGCAGAAGCGTAGGAAGTGCAGGGGCCCCTATATGCACATGGGTTGAGGGTTCTTTGCTTCTGCTGCAGGTGTCAGCTCTGTCCAGTGCTGGGGGAGTGGAGAACCTCATCCTCCTGGAGCAGGAGAAGCACCGGCCCCACGAGGTCGGCTCTGTGCAGTGGGCTGGGAGTACTTTTGGGCCCATGCAGAAGAGCCGGCTGGGGGAGCACGAGTTTGAAGCCCTCATGAGGATGCTGGACAATCTGGTGAGTCCCCTGCCATTGCCCTTCCAGGCCAGTGTATGGAACCTTCACCTCTGGAACCAGGCAGTGCAAGGCATAAGGTGGCACAGAAACTGCCAACATCACGATCAAGTCATTGAGGGCTTCACTGATGGGCAATTTAACTTGGCATTTGTGGCCCTCCTAAAAATAGTTGAGTTTTCTTTAGTGATGGCTTTTGCCACTCCCTACTAAGTGCTGTGGATGTCATATCTGCACATTATTATAAGAAATAGTAATCCAGCAAAAATCAGAGCACATCTTCTTACAGTCAGAGCTGCTGTCGTATTGGGGCGTAGTTCACCCCTCTTAAGTAGTTAGTCCTGCCTGTCTAATCTTATGACTTCAAAGCAGAAAGCACATAATATTATTAATTTCCTTATCCTTTATAAGAATATTCTGTGGCAGTGATGAATCCATCAGGTAAGGAATTAAACTGGTGTGTGTCTATAAGCGGTCTGCTTCCTTAAAGGATACAAAAAAATTTTAGACATTCTTCCTTCTTCTAGGGGCTAACAATTTAGTTGATGAACAGGAGAAAATTTAAGAACAAGAGGAAAGCACTTAAAATGAGGGGTTAAATGCTGCAGGAGACAATAACCTCTTAGATTGCTCAGAGACGGAAAAGATGAAATCTGTCCTCCTAGCACTTCCATCTGGTTCATTTTCCCTGTTCCCTCTGCTACCTCCTCAGGCCCCCTTTATCATGTCAAGGCCATTATGATAATTAAATCTCTTCTTCTTGCCTTCATTTCCTCCAAGTCATCTTTACCTTATTACCAGATTGATCAAGAGGGTCACTTTGTAATGATGAAAGGTCCAGTCCACAATGAAAATACAATTCTTTCTACCATTTGTGCACTGACCAATCTCCATCTAAATAAAGCATCAGGACTAGATGGTTTTGTACAGGAATTCTTTCAAACCTTTAGGAAACGGACAATTCTCATGCTATTTAAATGGTGTCAAAGAAGAGTGAAAGGAGGATACTGTTTTAGTCACCTTTTTCACTGCTGTGGCTAAAAGACCTGACAAGAACAATTATAGGAGGAAAAGTATGTTTGGGCGGCTCATGATTTCAGAGGTCTTCGATCATAGATGGCCGACTATATTTCTAAGGGCTTAAAGTAAAGTAGAACATCATGGCAGAGGAAAATGGCTCAGGAAGCAGAGAGACTCCACTCACCAGATACAAAATATATGCCCCAAAGGCATGGGGTTAAGGCATGGGTTAGGGCTCCTATAACCCAATCATTTCACCTCTAAGCCTTTTTGCATTTCTCACACATGAGCTTTTGGAGGACCTAATATTCATAACAGATGCTAAGCCATAAAAATTACATTCAGACTAATTTACTTTGAATATGGATGAAAAATGTTGCCTGAAAACTAACAAGTAGTATAGAACATAATGTTAGAATAATAACACCCATTAACTAAGTAAGGGCTGATTCCCAGAATTCAAGCATGGTTGAATATTATAAGACTTTAAATATATTTCCCAATATTGAAGGGCCAAAGGATGAAACCTTTTTGAAGATTTTAATAAAAATAAAAAAATGGATAAAAATTTAATATCAATTTATAAAAATATTATCTACCAGTTAGAATTGGAAGATACTTATTTAACATGATTAAAATGATTTTTCTCAAAACAAGAGCCAATATTATGGTAAAACCATAGAAGTATTCCAAGGAACTTTGAAATAAAACAATGATTCCCACTTTCAGCACAATTACTTAATATTGTTCTGAAATAATATTGAACTCAATCCCAGGCAGTGAGATATGAGAATAAGAGGCATAAATATTGTAAAGGAAATAAGATGACTATTTGGAACAGATAATATGCTTACCTGCTTAGAGAATTCCCCCAAAATCAACTAAAAAATTAGAAATAAGGAGGGTATTTTAAGGTGGTCAGTTTTGAAAATATATACAAAAATCATTAATTTTTGTATCTTCATGTTAACTACTTGGAAAATATAATGGGGGCTAGGGATGTAACTTAGTGATAGAGCACTTGCCTAGCATGTGTGATGTAAAGGCCCTGGGTTTGATCCCTAGCACCACACATGCGCGCACACACACACACACACACACACATCCACACACACACACACAAAATAGCTAATGATATAATAGAAAAATCGTATTCTCAAAGGCAACAAAATCATAAACATTAAGCAAACCTCATTTAAAGGAAACCACAAAACTTTAACAGTAGACATCAGAAAAGTTGAAATCGATGAAAAAAATATAACTTATGCTTGTTCATAGGTAAAGAGGTCACAACCCCAAGATCAATCTACAAACTGAATGTGATTCTGTCAAAAACTAGGGAAGGGAAAAGGACATAAAAAATACTTTCAATGTGAAATTCAGAATGACTAGGAAAATGCTATAAAAAGAAATAATTAGGGACACTAGCTCCACCCCATGGTAAAGTAGGATAAAGCTTTAGTAACTGAGCAGTTCCTAAACAGTTTGGACAAGCAAACCCATGTGACAGCTTAGAGAATCCAGAAATAAACCCAAAATACATGAAAATTCACAGAGGTAGCAGGCACTGTACAAATGAGTGAGAAAAGGTAGACTTCTGGCCATGTGGGAAAGAACATGGCTACTTCATTATTTTCAATAAGATAAAATCCCAAGTTATCAAAAATTTAAATACAAAAGTGAATTCACAGAGGTATTAAAAACATTGGGATAGACCTTGTCAAGCATGGCAAGAGTCTGAAATTGTAAGAATAAATATTCACAGGTATGATTCCATGAGACAATTAAAACTTGCAGTTTGATAAATCATTCCCCTGCCATAGACAAAGCTGAACATCAAATGAAGGGGGAAGATGTTTGCGACATTAGCTGACAGCCAAAGATTAATACTCTTAGTGTTAAAAGAGATGTATCAGTGTGAAAAGGAAAACCAGCTCAACAGGAAATGAGCTGGGAGCATAATGATTTATAAAGGAAGACTTCAAGTGGCCACTATATGTAATTAAAACTATTCAATTTTACTAATAATCAAATGTACACATACCCACATATGTATACAGAGAAGACCAGAAAAAAATTTTTGTGGTTATCTTTTGTGAAATTCACATTTTTCCTCATTTTTTTATATTGCTTAATTTTTTTTCATGGGCTCATATTTTCTTTATAATCAGGAAATACCTTAATGTCATTTTAATTTTAAAAAGTAGTAGAAGAAGAAGACAAGGAGAGCCAAATATCACTCTGGCAGATGCCAAATTTCCGGAGTGTTTGTTCCCACTGATCTGTGGTCAGTTCTGCCTGTGGGGACGTGGTCTTGCTTAAGGAGCCAAAAATGTTATTGAGTCCAATCTTAGGACTCTAGGAGGAGTTCAGAAGCTTCAGAGTCGAGGAAGGGAGGGGTGACTTAGAATAAGCTGAGAAGCTTTTAATGCTCCCATGGCCGAAGCCAGGCAATCGTCCCGTCAAGTCCACAGCTCTGCATTAAGGCCCCAGACACAAGTATTTTTTGAAGCCCCTCTGTGATCCCAGTGCGCAGCCAGGGTTGAGAATCACCAGAGTGGATGAAACTGGGGACTCTGTGTGAATAAAGAGTTGTATGTGTCCATACTCCGAGAACCACAAGGTCCTAGGAATTTTCTCAGTCCTGATTGGAGACCCTTAGGAGCAAACAATTCTGAAATATCTTAGGAGAATGGCCACACCTAGGTTGTCTTATGGAAACTTGAGTTGAAACAGTCTATAAGTGGAAACAGTCTATAAGTGGAATGGGGCAAAGTGTGGCACGTGCATGTGTTCAAAAACACAAGTACATATTCTGATCTTCCTCCTCTATAATGAGTGGTTCTATTTTTGTCCTTTCTAGGGCTACAGAACAGGCTACCCGTACCGCCACCCCTTTGTTCAAGAGAAAACCAAACACAAAAGTGAGGTGGAGATCCCAGCCACAGTCACTGCCTTTGTGTTTGAGGAGGATGGTGCCCCTGTCCCCGCCCTGCGACAGCATGCCCAGAAGCAGCAGAAGGAGAAGACCCGCTGGCTCAACACGCCCAATACCTACCTGCGGGTCAATGTGGCTGACGAGGTCCAGAGGAGCATGGGCAGCCCCCGGCCCAAGACCACAGTAAGGGGGAAGCCAGAACAGGCTGGGGTGGAGTGGGGGGTGCTGCATTTGTGGGGGTTAAGAGCTTTATAAGGGAGCAGAACAAATGGCCCCAGTACCCAAGGTTGTGCAGCTGCCTCTCAGGCTTCTTGTGGGGCCTCTGAGAACAACAGCTCAACACTTCCCACCCCTGGCCTGACCACCTCTTTCTTGCATCTCTGTGCTAAATTTTTGGTCTGAGGGGTAGATTTCTCTAGAGGGCAGCTGGACTAGGCTACTCTCCCCTGGAACAATTGATTTTTTTTACTTCTTGGTCTCATGTCCAAAGGGGGCTGCTGGGAAATACCAGGGTGAATATCCAACATTTCAATTGTAAATTTGAGGCAAAGCCAGGAGGTCAGGGGGCTTGTCTCGTATTAAGTTACCTTCCCTCTCACTCCCACTCTTCCTCTCTCTCTCAGACACACAGACTCTCAATTTGATTTTTTGTTTACATTAAAGTACCTGGCAGCCATATAGAATAGCTCTCCACCAAGCCCTTGAAACTCAGATTGAGCTATTTAATGCTGAAACCCAAGTGGTCGCCTGTCTAAGCTGGTTACCAAGGTTCTGATCCCTACCCTCCAGTGTTTGTTATGACCTAAGGCCTTCTTTGGCAGCCAGGTCATCTGTCACCCATCTGTCACAGCGTCAAAGAGGACCAAGAAGAGAGATCATCTATGAATAATTCTGCTGAACTTCTGCATAGACTAGTGGGCGCAGATCACGAGGGGCGGGTCACTGGGGAGGGTCTGTGGGCCCTGTTCCTCTATCTTACCCACCTGGCCTTGCCTCGTGCAGTGGATGAAGGCTGATGAGGTGGAGAAATCCAGCAGTGGCATGCCAATCCGGATTGAAAACCCCAACCAATTTGTGCCTCTCTACACCGACCCCCAAGAAGTGCTGGACATGAGGAACAAGGTAAGGTGGTGTCTGCTGGCCTCGTTCTCTCCCCTCCCACAAGGGGACCTCAGTCCTGCAAACACAGGCTGAGTTCCCAGACATGCCCACCTTACCAGCACCTGGGATGTGCCACAAAAGAAAGAAGCTACCATATATGGATAGCCAAGAGAGTCCTAGATAGCCCCTCCCACAGCGGGCTGCGGGCATTGCTCATTGGGTATGTCTGCAAGACCCACCCACTACATGAGTTTCTATACATTTTATGCCATTTGTCTTATTTTTAAGACTTTGAGAACCTTGATATTTATTTCTGCACCTTCCCCTGATAATCCACTCATATTTCTAATGTTACTTTAAAACTGGAGCTGTGGCTGCCCACGGGCCAGTAGTGCCCAGAACAGTGTTCAGCCTGTGGCTGAGTTTCCCTGCAGCATTTGTCTGATTCCTGGGTCACTGCACCTCCCCCCCCCCCACCCCGCATCAAGATTCAGACTCAGTAGGTGTAGGTGTGGGGAGGGCCAGGAATCTATATTTAAAACAGAGTCCTCATGGGCTTCTTAGGAATATTAAAATTTGAGACCCTCCCTCTGTGTCCCCTTCCCTCTTCTTGTCCTCACAGTTGCTTCTCTGATTTAATGAACTTGGTATTTACATGAACTGTGAATTCACTCGGGAACAGACCTGGGGACTTTCTCTTACAGGGGACGGGCTCCCTCACCCTGCAGGGCCCTTCTAGATTCCAGTCACAGACCACACTGGATCCCAGCAGGCCCCCTGGCAAGCTCCACACTCTGATGCCGCACCCTCCTTCTCTCCTTTCCACATAGATTCGAGAACAAAATCGGCAAGATGTGAAGTCGGCAGGGCCTCAGTCCCAGCTCCTGGCCAGCGTCATTGCTGAGAAGAGCCGAAGCCCGGTACAGCAGAGTCCGCCCCTGGCTGGAGGGGAGACATTTTTGCCTTCTGGGGCTTTGGTGCCTGGGGCTGGGCAGCAGGACCTCTGAGTCCTCATGCCCATCCTCCTCTGTGCTCTTGGGCATCCATGCTCTTGCTGCAGAATGGAGGTCCACTCACGGGGGCTGTGAGGTCCCGGGAAGACAGTGTCTACCTGCCCTCTGCAGGCACTGGGCAGGGAAGCTGCTGTCCAGCTTGTTCTTAGGAGTGCTGCTGGCCAGCTCCGTACCTTCCACCCTGGTACCCTGCTCAGGCCTCTGTTAGTACCCTGTGGAGGGCTGGTGGCTCTCAGGTGCACCAGGCTTGCACGGCCCTGAGTGTTTCTGACCTCTGTGTGTGGATATGGCATCATCTGGCCAGAGTTCTGGGAAGATGCTCCTGACCCCCAGAGGGCCTGGACACAGGGTGTGTGCTCCTGAAGGGAAGGAAGGGCAGTCAGTTGCCCACACAACCCCACTTAGGTTAAGAAAGCATAAAGTCATTGTTTTATTTTGGTGTTTTTTCTTTTTATTTTTTTGTACCAGGGATGCGTAACCACTGAGCCACATCCCCAGCCCTTTTCAGTATTATTATTATTTTTTATTTTGAGAAAGGGCCTCAGTAAGTTGCTGCTGGCTTTGAACTTGCAATCCTCTTGCCTCAGCCTCCTAAGCTGCTGGGATTACAGGCATGCGCCACAGTGCCTGGCAAAGTCATTTTTTTGGTGCTTGAGTGCTTGAGCTAGAACAACATCTTTCTTGTCTAGTATTTAGCAAGTTCAGAATTCTGGCTTGTTTGAAGTCATTGCTGCTCAAGGCAAGGCAGCAATGGGCATGGAATATTTTCTTTAGTAAAAAGTGGGGAAGTCCAGAAAATGTTCTCTACAAAGAAAATTGAGATGATGTGACGGTTTTAGATCAGGCAGCAGCCCACAAGGTGGGGGTTCACTGCAAGGAGAAGTGTGTATGTTACATCCTTACATCCAACTCCCACCCACCCGAATTCAGCCACATGAAGAACACTGAACATGCCACAGGGTCAAGGATGGAAATAGCCTATGATTCTGGGGGAGGTGAAAGGTCAATACAGCAAGCAAAATTGCTGAAAAACAACTCTGCCATTTATACCAGGGGCTCTCCTTTGAGTCCCTCATCTTAGAATCTGGCTCCTTTGACTCTGATTCCTGCAATAGGCCTACCTCCGCCTCCCTTTGGGAAGGAGCCCCCTGGGCCTCTTGTCAGAAGACCTGGCTTCTCTGGGTTCAGTGCCCCTGGGCTTCACTTTCTTTTGCTCCAGAGCACTGCATTCTTAAAGGCCATGATGAGGATGCTCAATTATGACAAAGGGCAATGGAGTCTGGATTTTAGTCCCTATTTTGGGCAAGAGTAGCCAAAGGATTCCGGAGGCTCACAATGTCTGGTTGATTAGCTCTCTAGAGCCGAGGGTCTCACAGGGGTGGTGAAATGGAGCGATTTTGCCAGTGTCCCTGAAGGTACCTGCAGGTTGGAAATCCGAGACTCAGGACCTTTGCCCCTTTGTAACCTATGACCATGCGCAAAACAGAACTCATAGCTTGGACTAAGAATGCTGCGGCTGCTGTGTTTGCTGTGTTTACTGCTGTGTGTTGGGTTTGCACTGCTGTTGGGGGGTGGGCAGGGGCTCTGGTGGGGAATGGCTGGCATGAAGCTTGCTCAAGCCAACACTCTGCCTGCTAGGCTTGGGCTTGCCTACTGACTTTGGGCCACTGACTGTACATTTACATAGTAATGGCTTGGAAGTGTCCATAGAAGGGATTGCAATAAAGGTGCATCTTCCTCCTGCTTGGGAGCATCCTTTGATTTTATTTCAGGGGCAAAGAGTGGCCTCCCTGTATTATTCATCCAGGCAGTTGCAAAATCTGGGTCTGGTGATGAGGTAGCAGTGGGGAGGAATGAACAAGCCCTACCACGAGGCCCTGAGCTGTTTCCAAGGAGCTGCATGCCACGCTATGGCTAGCAAGACTGCTGGCAGCCACCTGAGTGTGAAAGGAGGCCCTGGCTTGGGCCCCATCTGCGGCGTTCAGAGAGCGACACACACTCTGTGGTTAACTTTCAGTCGACAGAGAGCCAGCTGATGTCCAAGGGTGACGCGGATACCAAAGATGATTCAGAGGAGACGGTGCCCAACCCCTTCAGCCAACTCACCGACCAGGAGCTGGAGGAGTACAAGAAAGAGGTGGAGAGGAAGAAACTAGAACTGGATGGTAAGTAACCCCGGGGCACCATGGCTTGGAAATCTCCCAGGGGAGAGGGCAGAGCTCAGGACCACCCAGGGAGGACTTCCTGCCCCATCACCAAATAATATTCCACTTATTTATTAATCCCAGTAATGCCTCTGTTGCTCTGTGCTTCACAGTTACATGGTGGCTGCATGACCTCATTTGCCCTTTCACCTCCGTATAAAGAGTTAGCTTGTATAAAGTGCTCAGAATGGTGCCTGTAAATATGGCTTAGGTTGGCAAACACCAACTTAACGTTAGCTGGAATAAGATAAGAGTCATAATTATCATTAATGACCCGTCAGGCCTGATGTAAGCCTTTGAGCCTGGCACCTTTATGTCTTTTCTAACTCCTCCTTAATTTCAGAGTCTTCACTCAAACCCGTCTCTCCATATTGACTCCCAGATATGTGATAGGATGCGTGCCCTGGTCCATGCCTGTGTCCCCTCCTGGCACTGTTTCCCTTCTTGCTAGCCTGATCTAAAGTCATCAATACTGCCAGCTCCCTCTCAAATCCCCCTCCAGCTAAGAAAGCCTCCCCACCACCCTCCCCACTCCAGCCAAATTGAGCCGTCCCTTTTTTTTTGCTTTAAGAACACCCGGAATCTGAGACATACTTCAGCCCTTGGCAGTGTCCACTAGGGTAAGCTGTCATTCACCAGGGCAGCGTTTTCCTCCACCACCTCTCCTCACCCAGGGTCCGCCTTCTTCCAAAGCACAAAATGGAAGCTTGCCTGGCTGGCTTGCAGTTCTCATGGACCAATTGGAAGAACAGAAAAATATGGTGCTTGTTATCCCTAGGGATTGTTTGGACAGGACATGTAAATTTGCTGAGTTAACAAAGTAGCTACACACAAACAAATCACGGGTGTTTTTAAAGGGAGTCAGTGCTTGTTTGGGGCTGGCGCTTGCCCATGGATGTGCCTATCTGGCTGGTCCTCCTCAGAGACAGGACAGAGAGGAGGGGGCATTCTGCTGTCCCTTCAGGAATGACCTGTTGCACTGGTACATAAGCTCTGATGAAAGAAACAAGATCACTCTTCTCCCATTTTCCTCCCCAAGGAAACAGCAGAAATAAAAGCTTAGCAGGAGCGGGAGCTTCTGGCTGACCTCAGCCAGGGGGTTCATTTTCCGCCAGGAGGAATGATGACCAATTAGAAAATGGCAGCGTGGCTAGCATCCTCTCTCTCCACCCATCTGGCCAGTATTTGATCCCGGTGCTGAGGTGCTTTTCTGTGTTTTCAGGAGAGAAGGAGGCTGCCACAGAAGAGCCAGGCTCACCTGAAAAGTCAGCACCTGCTTCCCCAGCACAGAGCCCGGTGAAGGCAGAGACAAAGAGCCCTGTGGTCTCTCCTTCCAAGTCTGCAGAGGGTGAGTGGAGCTGAGCAGGTGGGGGTGGGGGGAGCATCCACAAGCTGGGAGAGGTGTCTGCGTGGATGGCAGGACAGCTAGGCACACTGGGCACCTGCCTTTCAACAGGTGTAATACCCCACCCCCCGCAACACACACCATTTGAAAAACTTTCCCCTCTGCTCTTTCTAGGAAATCTGAATAATTTTCAGTTTGTTTCATTCATAAACTCTGACAACACACCTTGCAGCTTAAGCCCTGCCAAGTAAAGCTGAACGAAAGTCTCCTCAACTGCAGTGGAGACACAGCTGGCTAGTGGGATTTTGCAGATATGCTAGCCCAGTTCTCAGACTTTAATGTGCATAGGGACTATGAAGATTCTGATCCATTAGGTCTGGGGTAGGGCCCGAGACTCTGCATTTCCCAGGGTGAGGCTGATGATGTCATTCTCCGCTTCACTGGGGCTTAGATCCCACCCACAGCAGCTATAAATTAGAGGACCTGGGTGGGGTGGGGCATGGGAAGGCCTGAAGCCTGGAGTTGTAAGAGCTCTCCAGGGGGATCTAGAACATAGACTAGGTTGAGAACCACTTCATTAGAGAGACAGTAGTTTTGAGAACCTAGTTCTAGAACCATCTGAACTGCTAACTGATAACATCTAAGCTGCTAATTCTATCAAACCAGCAGGTTCCCCCATGTCCTCGTCTGCCAAATGGGGCTATTATTATTTTTTCCCTATTTAAGGTTCTTGCATGTGTAAAGGAAGTATAGATGAAGACATACTTTGAAAGAATAAAATCATGCTTTAAATGTAAGATCTAGTCGTTATGAATAAGAATATCATATGGTAGACACTGATACTGTTAAAGTCCCTAAATCATAAAAGTGTCTTTAATGAGCTCCTGGAATCACTCCAGGATATGAACGCTCCTCCCTGGGTCCCCTGAGTCTCCCAGAGACACTGCCAGACAGGCTGCCCTGCCATCCAGAGAGCAGGGTGGCAGCTGGGATCTTCTCTCTCCTGGGTAGATGGCCACACATGTGGACTCAGATAGAATCCCCTCCCCAGCCTACCCCTGAGTCCCCCCCTAAGCCAGTCGCTGCCTCGAGCACAGGCCCAGAATTGTCAGAGGAAACCCATCTGCTTGAGGCCAGGGCCCCAAGTGGATGTCCCCAGTGGTCTGTGTTCATTGTGTCTCATCATGGTGTCATGTTGTCAACCTGTCTCCACAACGTCTTCCTTTCTCTTCCCATTTGTGCCTTCATCAAAGGAGTTTCCTCCGATTCTGAATACTTGTCTCTGTAGTAAGTATAGAAAGGCTGTTTACTAACTCACTCCAACACTGGCAATGGGGGAGGGAGGAGTTTTTCAAAAGAAATAGATTTCTCCCAATTTTTTTCTTTTGCAACTCACACCCCCGCCTTCCTCAGTTTTTCTGGATATAAAATTCATGACCAGTTCCACCTGCACTATGCATAGACTAGGCTTCCCCGAGGGAGACACAGATGTACACACAGAGCACACACACCCAGAAGCAACAAGCATCCGCGGTGAGGGCTGTGGGGCAGCTCTCCCTGCGGTAGAGTGCTCGTGGCCCTCAGGAGCTCACCTCCGCCTCTGTTCTAATGCATGAGTACCTCTGAGGAGCTGGTGACCTCTTCTAGGGCTGTGGACCAGAGCCTGAGAGCCCCAGGGGAGCTGTCTCACGGGAAGGCACAGAAGACTGGGCCTGATTAGAGCCCTCAGCACCTATGAGGATATGTGTACCAGTTGTAGGAAGGAAATCTGAGGCTGGAGAAGAGGCTCATGGTAGGAATGGGACAAAGAGTAGCACTTTGTTATCAGCTCCTGGAAGGGACGGAAGGCAGGAGGGTGTGTGATGGATGGGATAACTGTTTCCCCAACATCTGTCATCATACCCACTGTGGCAGGATTCCTCATTCTCTCTGGTCCAAATCTGTGCCCCTGGAGGGCACACTGAGGTCGAGTTGTGAGAAGAGTCACAGTCTCTCTGAAGACACATCCGTGCCACCGACAGAGCTGAGAAGCATGGCTACCTTGGAGCAGACCCTGCATGATGAAGGCATGAGCTTTGGTTGGGTGGGGAGACCAGTGTGAAGTGGGTGGCCAGTCCCTCAGGGCAGACAGGCTGGCATCTGCACTCTCGTATTTAGCTAGCCAGTCAGATCAGGAGTGTTTTTTTACAACCATTTGTCACCGTGCTCTTAAATCCCCACGAGTTACCGTAGTGTTACTCCTTATCTGTGTCCCAGATTCCTACTCCATCAGCTTCTCTGAAGGAGACTCTTTTCAAATCCTCTTCTTTTACATCTGGCCATCTGAGCCATCTTCTCTTTGGCTCTTGACTGACTGCCAACTGCCAACTCCATCCTCCAGCAACCCCTCAGGGCCACTGACTGGGCCAGCAAAGACACAGTCCTGTATTTGACATCACACCATCAGCTCTGCTACTAAATAATTTAGTCATCTTAAATATGTCACTTAAAAACACTGCAGATGGGGGAACAGCACAAATGCTTGCTCTTCCTAACTCATGGCGCTGTTGCCAGGATAAAAGAACCTAAGGAACATGAAAGTCCTTTGTAAGGTATTTACATAAATTAGGTCTTATTATGTACCATGTTCTCTGAATTGTGAGAACTAATACATCTGACTTGACTTTTAAGCCTCTGAGTTTTGGGGTAGCACTAGATAATTATTAAATCATGGCACATAATAGGAACAGGTTTTATGGAAATTAGTTCTCCTGTGGATTGACGGACTGAGCTTGATGGTTCCTCTGCTGCATATGACATCGGCTGGGGCTGCATGTGGCTGGGAGCTTGACTAGGCTGGAACTTACCTGCTGGTGCACTCATGTCTGGTACCTTGGCAGAGGCCAAGAGAAAACTGGACTCAGCCGGGACACTGGTGTGTCTGGGTCTCTTTCCCCCTTCCTCCCTCTTCCTAACACACACACACACACACACACACACACACACACACACACACCCTTTCTTCCTTTCTCCCTCCTCCCGCCCCCAAGCTTCTCCATGTGGCCTTTCGGTATGTTTCCCTCAGGGTCGTTGGACTTTATACAAAACTATAAAAGCAGCAGTTTCTAGTCCTACTTTAGTCTTTGGCATGAGGCTAGTTTTGCAGCACTTTGTCTATATTCTAGTGGTTATGGTGAGCCATGGGGCCAGCCTCGACTCAGGGAGGACGGGGTCTACATAAGCACGTGAATACCTGGAGGCATCACTCACAGGGGCCGTGTTTGCACACCAGCTGTACCACACACTGAAAGTATATTTGGGTGTCCAGGGGAGCTTCTGTGTCCTGGCTGTGGAGCATGCGTGGCAGTCACAGAGACTCCACCTGCCCCTGGTTATAAGAAGCTCTACTTTCTCTCCTATCAGTGGTGCTGTCTCAGCCCTTTGTTGGGGGGTAGATGTGGAAGGAACTATGCCATTCTAAACCCATGTTTCCCACTGTGTGACCCATGGGTCTTTTGCACTAGAATTATCTAAGGACTTGTTAAAAAATATAAATTTCTTGGCCCACCATCTGTTTCAGAGTCTTATCATGGAGACAATACAGGGAAGCTGTATTTTCATAGGCTCTCTGCAATTCTTTCACTGATGTTTAAAAATTGAAACCAGGGCAGAAACACTATTGCAAACCTCTCTGTGTGGACAGCATCCAATTTATTGATCCGCCATGGGGCAGTTCTGGCTTTTGTTCTTTGGCTCCCCTGCTCTGTCCCTTGAACACCCTGTGGGCTGTTTTGATTGCTGCTACACAGTCAGCTCTGTGTTGGCATAGACCACAGATGTTTATTTCAAGGTTTTTATGAACCTTTCTTTTGGTTCTTTATACAGAAGAAGAGCTTTTTCTCAGCAGGAAAACAAAAACAGTAGATGGCAGTCACCAACTTTCTATGCATTTTGGATACAGTTGATGATTTGTCTGGTTGACCCCGAGTTTAGAAGCAAATCAGAAAATTCTGCTTCAGGGCCCTTCCTCTGGTGTCCATCCTCCTGCAGAGACAGGGCCATTCTAGTTGTGGGGCTTGAAAGAAAAGTGACCACAACACTTAGAGAAACCAAGAGATCTTTATTGCAGCAGTGCAACAGAGGAGAAAAGAGAGAGAGAGAGAGAGAGAGAGAGAGAGAGAGAGAGCAAGAGAGAGACAGAGAAAGCAAGAGAGTGGGGCCCGGCAGGAGGGAGTTTTTATAGCCCAAATCTAATGGGGTCTCTGGGTCTGCAAGCTGCCTTGTTGGCACAAGGGGGTTAAGTGTTCGGCCTTGAGTGGCGGCTTGGGAGTTTGGGCTTGAAGCAAACAGGTGATAAAGAACCAGACAGAGGGTTTGAGTGGCCAGGTCATCCTGCAGCTAACTTTGTTTGGCATGCCCTGCAGACAACTTACTCAGCCTGTCCTGCACCTAACAGGGCTGGGGCCAGGGATCGTGGAATTTGACCCTGAGATGTTAGAAGGCCAGGTTCATTAGGCCAGTGAGGAAAGGCATCCTTGCTCCTGTAGTTAGGCGAGGCCTCTTTCCTTCCCCATGTCCTCACTCCAGTGCATGGGCACAGAAGATTTGGCTGCTGAAGAGAAGCAAGGTATCCTCAGTTGACCTTCATCTGGTCTCACCTGGAAAAAGGCTTGAGCATGTTATCACTGAGCTGGATGATGATGGCTGCCAGAGAAGTAAGACAGTCTCTGTCCTGAATGGTCTACTGGGGTGATAAATGATGTCTTAAAAAAGATGAGTGCTGCATGCAAGTGCAAAATGAATATGTGAACAGTAGGTTTAGAAGAGGGCAAGATCATTGTCAAATACCAGGCAGATGCACAAGCTGTCTTGAGCCAGACTTTGGGGACATATGTACTTGGATTGGCAGATAGTAGTGGGGTAGGCTGTCCAGAGATGGTAGCCAGGAAGCAGGGAGAAAAGACATTGCTGGGAGGTGACTGTATAAGGGTTCTCCAGAGAAACGGAATTAATAGGGCATATATAGACATATAAAAGAAGACTTACTAGGGAATGATTTTGGAGGCTGAGAAGCTTCATGATTGAGTGTCTGCAAGCTGGCAAACCAGGAAAGTCAGTGGCTTTATTCACCCTCAGTCTGAAGGCCTGAGAACCAGGGTCTCCAGTGTATGAAGGAAGGAGAAGATAGGATGTCCCAGCTCAAGAGGAGAGTTCACCTTCCTCCACCTTCTTGTTATATTTGGACCCTCAACAGATTGGATGATGCCCAACCTTATTTGATGAGGGTACAACTCCTTTACTCAGTCTACCGATTCAAGTGTTAATCTCTTCCAGAAACACCTTCACAGACATACCCAGAAGGATTGTTTTACCAGCTATGTGGGCATTCCTTAACTCAGTCAAGTGGACTTGTAGAATTAATCATCAAAGGGACACTGGTGAACCAAGAGGCAGCGAGTGGATGGAGACTATGGGATAATGAGAAATCAAGTCTGAGAAGTAGAGCATCTAGGAGGCTTTGCACCTCCTACAGAAGCCTGCCTTCTCTTTCGGAATCTGGAAGTCTTTCAGCCCTCTGTCCTGCAGCCCTGTGGGGTCTGGGAGTAGACCTGGTCTCTGAGTCTAGTCTTGCTCCCAATCATGTGCTCTCTGAATTACTCCTTGTTCTCTCCAGCTACCTTATCCATCCTTAAACATAGCCCCCAGTTTTCCACCCTCTGCCTCCCCCATCATCCCCTATTCCCAGAGTCCCAAGCACCGCACTCAGGAAAGTCTATGCTTTTTAGCGGATGCTGGAAGGTAAACTCCCACCTGCACCTAGTTCTCGGGGTCCCTCCCAGCCTACTCTCCAACTTAACTCCCTGAATCACTAACAGAGGAAGGGTCTAGACTCTCAGAGCCAGTCCCTGATGCTTTTCAGGGACCCATACATGTTTTTGGAGTCCTGTACCACTGCTTCATTTCTTGGCCAACAGAACTCTCAAGTGGTCTCTGTCCCTGTAGTTGAGGGAGTGGCGATCTCAGTTTGGCTTCTCCACTCACACTTCATTTGCCACGACCCACCAAAACAATTCACCATCAGAGAGCTGTCTGAGGTCAGAGTGGGTACACTGGGTGTGGCCCTTGTTTTCTACATGGTGAGAAGAACGTGGATGTAAACCAAGACTCTCACCAGGGGCCAAGGTTGTAGCTGAGGTGGATGGCAGAGCAGGTGTGGGAAGGGAAATGGATGGGGAACTGGGGAACGCATGAAGGGCACAGGAAGAGTAAGAATCCTCGTCATCGCCAGGCAGGAAATGACACTAGAACAGAAAGTGGAAGCCCCTCTGATCCACAGTTGTATTTGTGAAGCTAAAAAACAAGTCCCAAAGTCATTTTGAAGAGCACCAAGGGTCAAGCTTGAGAATATATCCTTATGTGTCATTCAAGTGGGCACCTGTCGTGAGTCTCTGGATTTAAGTTGCAGAGCCATGGTGGAGGGGTTGCAAGGGTCCAGGACAATTGGGAATGAAGACGAGGAGGGTCGGGAAGTGTAGCACCTGGGTGGCATTACATGATGGATCCTTAGAAAGCTCAGGGTGGAGTAGACAGGAAATATAATGAGGGGGTGGCATTGCCTTGGGTAGTATAAATCCATTCACATGTTCATTATTTGCTCATGTGTTCAGTTATTCATGGACTCCCACAGCCATTTTTCTCAGTATCTTCTAGGAGCTAGTTACATAGATAATTAGATAGTCTTGCCCAAATTTATTTCAGTTCAGAAGAGGAAGAGATAGGCATAAAAAAATCACCCAGGTCTAATAGTTTTATAATTATGGTGATTAAAAGTTCTTGTAGTGGAGGCAGCAAAGACAGTGGTCAATTCGACCCAGAAGTGGAAATGGGGATCGGAAAAGACTTTAAGGAAGATGAAACAATCAAGCTGACTCACTGCATGAGGTGAAGGTTGTGGACACAGAGAGGGGAGAGAAGGGCCCTCCAGAGAGCAGAAATCAGGCTGGGGTGGCAGCAGGGACTGGGAGGCTGAGGAGGCTAAATGGCAGGTACAATGGGGACAAGTGATAGACAGAAGGTTGTGTCCAGATTGACGGATGGCATTCAGGAGCATGCCAGGTGATGGCCACAGGAATTCCTGGCAGAGGTGAGGGGACTGGGCAAGGGCCATAGGAATCAGGAGCTGGAGAACTGGGCAGCTGGATGATGAGAGAACGTGGGCTGGGCAGTGGAAAGAATGGGAGCCAGGGACCAGAGTCTGTGGTGCCAGGAGGGAGTCTTCCAGAAGGCATCTGGGAGAAGGCTTCGACTTGTCGGTTTCAGAAGTTACAATAGGCCTCATTACAAGGAGATCTTGCCCAAGCAGTTAATCCAGCCCATCCTAACTGTCCTAAGGTCCCCCTTCCAGCCCTCAGGGAATTCCATCTTCCATGTAACCCTCCACATAACCAGACGTGTCCCCATTCACCCGTCAGAACCCCATGCTTCTCTAGAACGCTTTCTCCACCCACTTCTGTGACACTCACTATCCCTTCCCCCAGAGCCCACATTCCCACATGGAGGATCCTGCGGAGCTGACTTCTTGGGGTAACACACCTGCCACACCCTCCACACACACTCACACTTAGACTCCACACTCCCCACACACATGCAGCTCACTTTAACCCTCACACCACACGTACTCACACACTCACATGAGCTCACACACAGCCACACACGGATGCTCCTTTGAGCTTGGGTTGAGAACAGCACTGGACTAGAAGTCAGTGAACCGAGGCCGACCCACCGTTTTACAGCTTTGCTCAGTTTTTAGTTATAAACAAGGAGGAAGCCAGACGACCAGTACGGTGCCTTCTACTTCTCAAAGTGTGTGGTTTTACATTTCCCCTCCTCCCTCTTGAGCCGGCATTCCAAAGCTTGCATGGAAAGAGGGTGGGATGTGGGTGGGGAGGGGAGGAAGGGCCACTGGAGGGTTTAGTTCCTGGGGTCTGAGCAGCTCTGCCCTTGCACATGGCACCTGGCCATCCCCGGGTGCCATTAGATGGGTGGATCCCTTATGACTAACCCTTGTATCATAGAAATGCAGGGTCCACACCACTCAGGGAATTCCATCCTCCCAGCTTTCTCCTCTCTGCCTCTTGGGAAGATACTTTCCATATTTCCTAGGCAGCTCGCCTGGTGTAAGAAGTGAAACCAACATGCAACCTCCATGGTTTTATTAGTGAAACTGCTCTGCCTTCAGCGATTCTCAGATGCCTCCCCTAAGATGTCCAGGACACGTTCCCTCCTTCCATCAGCCTCTCTCCTCCCTCGTGTGTGTTCCTAGCTCTGTGCCTAGAAATGTCCTGAGCTGAGTCTTTGCTGGGATGCCTGCCGTGTTCTGACCTCCATGTCTGTTCAGTGTGTAGACAAGAGTCCAGGGTCACTGTCCTACCTAGGATGTAGGAGCAGGCCTTGTAGAAAGGGGTGCAGTGTTCGGATGACAGCCTTGTCCTCCCATTTGCCTCAGAACCCTGTTCTGCATCCCCATGTCAGTCTGCCTCCCCAACCATTGTTCTAGACTGAACCGGAAGTGTTTTTTTTCCCAGGTGGACACTCTCATCTGAATGAAATCTTACGGTCATGTCTTTTGTTCTTTTTCTAGAAGATGTTAAGGAGACAGAAACAAGCAAAGCCACCACTGAGCCCGAAACAGCCCAGCCAGAAGGGGTGGTGGTCAACGGGAGGGAGGAAGAGCAGACTGCAGAGGAAATCCTCAGCAGAGGCTTGAGCCAGATGACCACCAACGCCGACACGGACGTCGATACCTCCAAGGACAAAACCGAGTCAGTCACCAGCGGTCCCATGTCCCCAGAGGGCTCGCCCTCCAAGTCTCCCTCCAAGAAGAAAAAGAAATTCCGAACCCCCTCTTTCCTGAAAAAGAGCAAAAAGAAGGAGAAAGTGGAGTCCTGATCGGTGGCACCCACGGACTCCCATTTGCATCTTCTCCCTCCTCCCCTCCCCTTCTCCCAATTCTGTCCCTGGAAGCACAGGGCCAAGGAGGGATAGAATAGGACCCGGGATCACACTCAGAGGGGGAACTTGAGATCACCCGACCAACCCCTCATTTTACAGTTACACCAGAGAAATCAGGTGACTGCCCAAGGTCACACAGATAGTTAGTGGCAGAGTCCGCACTAGAATTCAGGTCTTCGGACCCCCAGTCTAGTGCTCTTTCCACTTCACAACACTGCCTAGTTGTGGGCCACCTTTGTCAGGACGTTGCCCGCCAATCTGAGCCCAGGGCAGGAAGGCAAGAAATGGGCTATGAGCTCTCACAGGCTCAGACTAAATCAAACAGGTCGAGACTTCCCCTGAGTAAGGTCCATTTCTTCCCAGAAGGCCCATCTCTGTGATATGGAGATATGGCCGCATTGAGAAATCTTGTTTCTCTTGTCCATTTTGGGTCCCTACCCTGTTGCTCAAAGTAACGAGACAAGTTGACCTGTCCCCGCCAATAGAAGTTAACCTTTCTTCCCAAGGCTGATGGCTTAGCTTGCACTTCCCCGAGCACTACCCCTGAGCTGTCTTCATGGAACCACTTGAACGATGAATAGAAGAGCTGTAGGTGTTGGCCGATGTGAGGGCAAGCCAAGTCAGCCTGACGATCAGGGATGGTCTGATCAGTATCAGAAGCCAGGAACTTGACCTGTTTGTATTGTGCATCTCAAGTGCTTCAAAACTAAAACCAAACTTAGCATAAGAAAATGTTATCTCATGCTCAGGGCAGAAAAGTGGGGAAATTTAAATCCTCCGTTGGCTTTGCGTTGTATAAGGAGGATCAAGGTGGCACAGGAGATGCTGCCTTTCTAGCTCTGCATGACACACCCAGCAATGCACTGTACCTGCCTCATTCCTGTCCAGCAGCCAGGTGTCCCCTGACCTTCCCTCAAACCCAGAGCACTTGCTCCAGAGCAGAGAACTGGCATCTTAGTCTTGGCTTCCTTGGGGGTCCAGATCCAAGTTATTCTGGGTCCATCAAAGGAGAAACAGAAATGTGTCTTTCAGGATTAATCCTCTTGGACCAGCGCTCAGAGAAATGCTTGGGTGTCCCCAGCCCTGTCACTCTGTCTGTCCTGGGGCCTGGTCATAGCTACAGCTATTGTTTTAAATCCAACACTATTTTTTCATGATCTTCTATGGGGCATTGATTCATGAGCATTGTTGACTCCTAGACAATCCATTCTCTTTAAAGCACAGTGTCTTCAAAGAAAATTTCTCTTTTTTGTCCTGACTAATGTAAAAATATTTTTGGAAGTTCTTAACCATAGGACCATAGTTTTCCATTTTTGAGCATTTCAAGTCCAAGGACACTGTGCAGGCTTCACATACATGACACCCTGTAAGCCTCACAACAATCCTGTGAGTTGGATAAGATGATTCCCATTTGATCACCAGGAAACTGAACTCCCAAAAGAAAAACCTAAAGTCTAGATTTGAACTTGGGTCAGTCTGAGTCCTGAGCCCTTTCTCTTTAACAATCTCTGATGAATGGACAACTTTAATTCTTGAAGGTGATTTAGTCCATGAACCATTTCTAAGACTAGTGTCCACTGCATAATGTTAGCACTTGAAATGAAGGTAGGAAACTACCTATGTCCACTTTTACTGATGCATGTTCAACTCCTGGTGGCCTGTGAATGTGGTCCTCTGACAAGACAGGCAGGAGCCTTCCGGTTGGGGCAGGAAACACCATCCACAGTTGGCTATTTCTTGAAAAGGAAGGAAACTGACATGGCCAAGGAAAACCCAATGCTGAAAACCTAGCACGGGTTCCCAACTGCTAGGGCCCCTCTGCTTCCTGGTTGGGTCCTGTCTTAGGATGGACAACCCAACGGGGCACTGACATCTCAGAAAAAAAAAATCTGTCATATGGGAAATGCCTTTAAAAGCCAATCCTCTGATGCCTTCTTTAAAAACTAGGTTTCCATTTATTCATTCATCCTTTCATAGGATTTGTTGAGCAGCTGCTCAGAATTACACATGATGCTGACGTTAAAAGGAAGCAGTCATGGTTACCAGAATAAAAGGCGGCAGAGAAGGGAGGAGTGGACGTGACCTCCGGAGCAGCTCTGTGTGAGAGTCATCGTTGCTCAGAGGTGTCTGTTGATGGCTCCGTACTTGGCAAACGCTCTGTATTCCCTTTACCTTAGCAAGCCCTCATTCAGGTGAAAATGTCGGAGCCTTGCTGGAGCATCATCTGTGGGATTGTGCCACGAGTCCACCTCATATTTGCCAATCTGTTCATTCCTTGTGTATTTAGAAAACATGCACTGAGCTTGGGTCCTGGTGCCGGTGTGAAGGAAGGACAGAGCTCCTACCCACAAGAAACTCACAGTAGGAGGCCCACAGACCAATACAGAACAGGCGAGTGCAGAGGGGTGGCATAAGGAAGCAACACTTGGTTTTCTTTGGGGGCCAGAGGCACATTCCTGAAAGTGATGATGGCGGAGTTAGGTTTTCAAAACAAAGAAGAACTTCCCAGAAAGACAAGGGTTTCCTATTCCCAAATGAGGGAAGACTATGCACAGAAGCAAGGAACCACACTATCTTCTATAGCAAATAGTGAGTTTCCAGCCCAGAGTCCCTTTGAGATTTTTAATAAGGCAGGAAGAGCTTATGTCCCCTACTCAGTTCTGTTTCATCTCGGCATGGGTTTGCTGGGAAAGGGTTGCATCAACCTGACCGTTGTTTTCTTCCCTCGCCTGTGAAGGATGCTGTCCATTCTGCTGCAGGCTGGAGGACTAGCACCAAGTGCTGTAGAAACAGCCATGCAGTCCAGACAAACCCGCAGGCCACGAGGGTGAGAGAGTATTTTATTTGGCTCTGCATAAAAATCGACTGAAAGTTTGGTATCTGATTGGAGAAAATGAATATTCATGAGCTCCAAGCTTTTAGACAATGGATTAGTTTCTAATTGAGCCCTTGTGCTCAGATAGGACACAGGAAAGGGATAAGAGAATGTGCACCAGTCTGCTTCACTGTGAGTGGCTGATCTGAGCAGTAGAGAAGCGTCTGAGCCTGTTTCCGTGGGAAGGCAGGCAAGAGCTGGGGCAGAGAGGAAGAGGGGTCAGTGGTCACAGAGGGACAAACTTGGGTCCAATGCCTCTGTGCACTGGTAGCTGGTAGCCAATTGTGGTGTGGGAGAACCATCCATACCATGTGACCTCCTCCCAAACTGCAAAAGGCATTGCCAAGAGACTCTCTGACCCTGCTGCAGCCCAGATCTGGGCTACACCAGAGCTTCCTGGCCCACAGCTGACCCAAGTTACTGCCCTACTTCAGCTACGTGAAAATAACCCCCATTGAAACTCCTACAGGTAACATGAGTTTATTCCTCTGAGTCTAAAGGACTTGGGAGGATTTGGATGAGGGGTTGCAGGTTCTTATAGTAGTAAGCCCACCATAAAGCCCTGCCCCACACCACCAAATCACATAGGCCAAGCGTCAGATCCTGTCCTCTGCTGGATAATTCTGTCCCTCACCCATGGTGACGTGCCAGGGTGGTTATTCAGAGGTTGTTTGGCACTGTTGTAACAGAGGGGCCATGGCTCTTGTCAGCATGGGAAGAAATGCTATCGATCCACTTCTTTGGTTGCTGTGGATCTAAAAGAACCATTTACCCTATGGCATGATTAACTTTTGAAAGTCAAAAGATTAGAAATAAGTTGATTTTTCCAGGATGCCGTGCTTGGAGACAGAAGGAGACACAGCCTATCACAGGCCAGGACACCATGCTTTTTCATAAGTGTGAATTTTACATTTTAGGTCAAGAGAAAGAAAGCCCTTCTTGACTATTCAACAGGTGAGGAAATGTTTTCCCCTCACTCATTTTACCCACGTGGGTCTGCAGAGGCCCTCCATTGGTTGGCACTGCTGCAGCTGACTCTGAGCATGGAGGAAACAGGTCTTCTTATATCTTCTCTCATCACTGAGCCCAAATAAACCCTTGATCTAAGACCATAAAATTCAAGGAGTCTGAGAAGATAAGTCTGTGTTCTCCACACCCATAGAAAGGACAGGGCATCCAGGCGCTAAACCTGATAGGACATCATATCTGTCCCACATTGAAAGGGGTGATTTAATACAAGCTCATGAGTTGCCATCTGTGCCCACTTCTCTGTGCACCACAACCTGAAAAAGCTTATACACCATAACATACTTATTCCCCAAAGTCCTGTCCAACCGGCTGATCTCCGTGGATGAGGTATACTTTTGGTCAGGAATGAGAGACTCGGTAGGGCTCTGCCATCAAGACACGTCTGCAGTGAGAAGCCACACTCACCCAGGGGTCAGCATGGGGATTTCAGGTGAAGGGATCCTTTGGCGGAGAAAGTGGCTTTCATTGTACTTACATAGGCAGTTCCCTGGAGAAGGTAGGCATCTTAGGAGCAATTAGGAAGAACCTCCAGTTGGTGGTGGTCTTTAAAAATACGGAAGTAAACGTTTGCATTCTTAGGTGGTTGTAGATTTCCCCCCCCAAAGTTGGGTCATCACTATGAGAGACAGGCCAGAAGGTGGAGGAGGGAGTTGGCGACTGAGCAGGGAGGGATTCTGGGGCAGCTGGAGTGGGCCTCAGCCTGGGAAGGCTCTGGGGGTCCTCCTGGTAGCCTCTGGTCTTCAGCTCCCTTCCCACCCACTCTTTCCCAGGCATCGGGACGAGGCAGGCCACGATGGGGGCACTTCCCTTATCACCAAGTAGGGTGATTGCCAGCGTTTATGGGGTGGTGGGAAAATAGCTCTAGGAAGACCCGAAATGCTTCTCCCCTCTATCAGATCATCTTGTCAAACTTAAAAGCCCAAAGGCAGATCGTCCCTTTTAAAATTAATCAGAAAGATGATGAAAGTCAGACCAAGGACACAGGGGCCTCACTTGGAAAACATCCCAGCCCCTTATATACAATGGGAGGGGAATATATTTTAAGGAGGGGATTCCCTAAAATATAGTCTTGCTTTGTGGTGATGGTCTTGCTTTGTGGGTGATGATTTGATCCCCTGGGACTGTGTCTACCTTTAAATTCCCATGATCTGCTCTAAACTACTGAGTCCCAGTGTTTGAGAAGTGGGAAGAACAAGCAGTCAGGAGCCTCGGGTGGCCCGGCTGGGGCGCAGGGCAGCAGGAACCCAGCCTAGGTAGGGAGTGCAGTGTTGTTTAAAGCTGTGGATGGTTTCAGTGAGTTGTCTGTGTCTGACAATCGTCACTAGGGAGTACTACTTACTGTCTTCCCTTGTACATACATTGTCTGTGTTTAGCTTTTCCTAGTATTGTGAGGTTTCAAATAGGGGTTCCATGTAAATACTCTCTCTGCTACTGAAATGCCAGCCCCCTGGGTCATGCACCTTTCCCACACACGGTTTTGCCTTTCTGTGTGCTAACACGTGTATTGAGCCACCAACGTGCAGATGGACAGTTAGTCTCTGGGGCTTTTATTTTGCAATTTTATATATATATGCACATATATAATATATATATTTATGGGATGGTTTTGTATAGTTTTCTGTTTGAATCTCTGAGCACCAAAGCTGCCCTTGGATTTTCACGAGAACTTTCCAAAGCCACTTCCTGAGCCCTTCTGCTGCTTTGGTGTCTGACTGTGTTGCTGGGGTGGTATCTCTGCCCGTGGATTTCTGTATGTATGTGCTGTTATCTCACCTGCGGATATTACCCTAGTAAATCTAACGTGCTTGGCTTCCTGGTGTGTGTGACCCATCTCTGTTGGCTGCTCGGTTCTCCAGGATACCAGGAAAGCAAACGTCAGAAAGGGGGTCTATTTCTGGAAACAGTGACCAGGTGAGACACCTTTACCCTTGTGACCATTGCTCACATGTGGGAAGCAGAACACACATATAATTGAGTGCTGACATGGGAAGGGAGGTCACAAATACTAGCATCCTCTGAGAAGGCACAAGTCATGTGGATTTGGAAACAACTTAGTGGAGGAAGATTGACAGAGGCAGATTGAGAGGGGGACTGTGAAAACAAATGGGATGGCCCTGCAGGGGCAAATTGATGAGCTGGAATGGAATGAGGTGTGGTCCTAGAATCAGAGGGCTGGGGAGAGGTAAGAAGTCACCCCAAAGAGGGTAAGACAAATGGAGCTACTCCTAGGATGGGAGATTGGAAGAGAGAGAAGAGGAGCAAGTCTATTTGGCTCCCTTCCAGCTGTTGCATTACTCAGAAAATATGGAGTGCACCCAGGATCTGTGGAGCACCCACAGCAGATGCCAGGTGCCATTGAAGGATAGCTCCTCTTTAATCCCCACAAGCCCCAGAGGTGGTTCTATTATTATGACTCACTTTGCAGATGAGGACGCTGGCTCTGGAACAAGGAGACTTTCTTGGGCTGCAAGTAAGTAAGTAGCAAGCCCCATAATCAAACTGAAGTCTTCTAGGTCACCCAGCCCTTGCTCTTTCCAGGGCTTCCCATGGCCTGAGCATCCTGAG